TCTTGCTTTCCTTAAATATTTTCCTTATAAACAGTGCATGTAACTGATATTGATGAAAAACTACAAATTCTAATGACTGTTTTTTCTATAAAATTTTTAAGCGTAAATAATAAAATGGTGTTTACAAATTGAGACAAATAATACTTTTTCATATAATGTGATTGCTGCTCTGAACAAATGCTTCCTTTTAATCACCCCATCCTCTCATATATGGAAATGAATGACCTCAGGAAATTTCCATTTGCTAGGAAGAAAAGAGGAGCCCCTTGCACCATTCAAACAATTTTTCAGAAGCGGTCTGGGAACTCAATGAACAAAAAGCTTGCATATTCAAAAAATACCAAGCAGGATACATTCTGATTTAAGGAAGTGAGGTTCTTATTTAAGGAAATAAACTAATGATTCATTATTTAAAAAGCTACTGCTGGCTGTATCAGGGATCATTATAGAGGGTTGCAATGAGGCAGATATCCGCATATACCCAGGAAAGGAAGTTAGTCCATCATAGGGCACACACAGAACCTGGTGGAATACAGAACATGCAGACTCCAGACAGAAGATACTCCAGTTTGGAATCCTGTAAGGCAGCAATGAAAGCCAGCAAGCCAACACAATTAAAATCCTATTTATCAAATAATAAAAATCACCATTAAAACCTCAGGACAGTACTTGGAAATATGTATTTGCATTATATTACACAGATATAATAGGTATATAAATATGGTACCTCTGCAAGGTACCATACAGTACATTATATTGTATGGAACTTTTAAATTCAAGTCAAATTAAGGTCTCTTCATCTGTCAAAATGCATTAGACACAACAAAAGGAAATTTCACAATGCAATTATCCATTAATGTAATGGTAGCATTAAAAGAAGCAAAATTTCAGTATATCACCATATCAAAGAACTGGACTAGAGGACTCTTGAGGTTTCTGAATCAGTTTGCAATTTTAATTTAACACAGACTTTCTCTTTTGTGTAGAATCATTTTCACAGAAACCATTTTATATATTCCAATCACAATTAATGTGATTCTATTCTATAAAAGTTTATTAATTTCAACAGCAGCACTGAAACTCAACAGACACCAGCATAAATGTCCTAAAAACAGCACAACATGGCATAGGAACAACCCACAGGTTCCACACAGGTCACTTGATAACAAAACAGCAAAACATAAACACCATTTTCTCCGTTCCTTGATCTTTTTTTCAATTTCTCTTTTTTTTTGTCGATGTTTTGAAAATGTGTTTTTCTTCAAAGAGAACTTTGAACTTCAGCTGCAAAGGAGTAAACAGATCGATAAAACGAATGATAAGAGGCTTACCTTGAATCAGAAAGGAAGTGCTGTTGTGCCATCAGAGAAAATTGTTCCTTGCTGGGGAGAACATGAGAGAAAGCCCTGGGGAAAAAGTGAAGGAAAGAAACTTTAACAACAAAAGTTTCTTACAGGTTTCAGAAGCAAAGCTGATCACCCTATGATATCATCGTTATCTTTGCAGAGACCTCGTCAAACCTTGTGTGGTTTTTAATGTAAATAAATGCGCTATAATCATTAACGTAATTTTCATCACTAAATGCCATCCTTGGTCAGTTATCATCAAAGCTCAAGTGTTATCTGTAACTGTGCTGTCTGCAGACACCAATTAATGACATTGCTACTGTAGGAGTGCTGGATGACTGTTTAGATTTACGGATGTTACATGGAACCCAATTGAGTTAGAAGCCATAACTTCTAACCCAATTGAGTTAAAAGCCATAACTTCTAACCCAATTGAGTTAAAAGCCATAACTTCCATAACTGTTGCTGCTGTTGCAAACCCCTGTGTGTAAATAAGTTGTATCATTGAGGTGTTACAAGCAGCCTGGTCTGGGTGAAAGGTTTCTTGTCAGTACATAGTACTCTTGGAGTTTAGTGATGGTGGGTGGGTAGTTGTCAAATGGTTAGTGACTTCTATCGCTTGCTTACATCACCTTCTCTAATACTAAATATGACAAGTGTGCATTTCCTCCCACACAAGTGCGTAAGAGATAACAGGGCGGGTAAATTTGGAATGCAAGGGGTAATATTTTCTAAAGGTACGCCACAATCTCCTAATATGATGCTGAAATAGATTAACTGGTTAGTGCTGTATAATTAATAATTAAAGGTAAAATATTTACTTGTTTAAAGTATTTTCATTATATAGTATACTAGCTTTTCTTCTGCAAGAGTCGGCATTACACAAAACCTGAAATGGATCAAGCTGCTAAACAAAGCAGCGTTTCAACATTTAAAAAAGCAAATAGAGCTCATTCACTCCAGAAGCAGCTACTTCAAGTCCAGACTATAACGCTAGCAGACTCTGACTGGGACTTTCAAGTAGCAGGGCACAACTGGCCAGGATCTGTCAGGCATGAGAGGCCTTTGCTCCCTTGTGTTGCTGTGCAAAACCCAATCCTGGAACTGCTGGGCACTAGAAAGCTTGTCAGACAGACTCATCTCTCCTTTATTCGGTTCTAGCTCTAAAGCCTGGAACCTGAAGTATGTTAATATTGGAACACAAACCAGAGAACACAGGTGAAAACAGTTCATTTAAAACCACTAACAGAAGGCATTACTTTACACAAAAGCTTGTGGAACTACTGTATGTTGCGAGCATTTATCTCATCTGATATTCAGCCAATTACAGAAAGAAGTCATGGCATGTCCCTTGGATCAATAAGCTTCTGAAAAACAAAAGTAATGGGATGACTAAACCTCTCCGTTTGTTACTATACGTAGGGGTAAATTTATGCAACAGCCTTTATAGTTGGAGATGTCAAAGTAGTCCTAATTTCACTGTTTGGTAAGGCTTTGAGCAATAAGCCTCACTACTAAACTAAGTGAAAACCAAAAAATGCTATGCCAAGTGACTTTGTTTCAATCCTTACTATTTAAATTCCAGTTTAGTGACTCTTTACGGCTTGTAATATGAGGGTTAACTATCCTATTCAGACTACAGACAGTGTGCCAGCTAATCTTCAGTATTAATGAGAAAACACCAAAGGGACTACCTTGAAAAAGCCTGTGATCTCAAGTCCTCTTTTATCCACATACAGTACTTTCCCTAATTTCATCATTATGTCCCAAAAGAAAGCTTAACTAAGCCATCTTGACAGTAAGTCTTTCTAAGCTAAGGTTCACCGAGTGGTTATTTCAGTAGATTTACTGAATGGCTCAAGAGTACTGAAACTGAATTCAGATCTGGAAAGAGTGTTCAACACGGCATCAGCAATGTTAAAGAAGGTACTTAAAATTGATTTACAGTACTTTTATTCAGCTAGTTACACGAGTAACTAAAGATTGCCAAGGGGTTCAGGCCTTTCAGATCATCTGTATGTGCTTTAGATGCAAGAACTGTACCTAACAGATCGCAGGAACTCATTCAGCAATTTCTTGAAATAACCCAGGTAATCGGCTTCAACTTCATGGCAGGACCGCTTGTCCCATGCAAGAGACTTACTAACCTTTGTGTAAAGTGCCATCTGTTCTCAGTTTTAAAAGCAATTCCACATTATTATCTGTTCGTGACGTTTGATTTTTGCTTAACTGTCTGACTAAAGAAGTCAAACTGAAAGAAGTTAACTTCCATTTGAACGCTTGAATCAGTTCCTCATGTACAGTAGTTTTCTCTGTTCTGGAATGAAAAGGTTGAGTTATTTTAGCCTGTCAGTTTAGGACATTACTTTAATCTTTGGAACGTATCCGGTTGCAACTGTCTGGATGGATACCAGCACAGCAATATTTGTAACGTGGTGACTAGATTTGTACTGTATACAATATGCTTGACAAGTTTTCACTAGTGCATTGTGAGATGTTAATATAAAATCCCTTGATATCAATTCTACACTTCTAATTCATCCAATATCTTACCAATGTTTTACCCTTCAACTCTTCCGCACTTGGTCTAGATGATGTAAATTATATCAACACAGATACAGTACTTAAGCCTTTTTAATACATAGCCTCTTCAAGATCATTACCCATTTACAGCAGTTTCTATGGTTTATGTTTTTTTCTACCCGCATACATTGTACCAATCAGTACTTGTCTATTTCAAACATTATCTGCCAAAAGTTTGTCCAGTCTTAAATTCTATCTAAATCCTTTAGAATTTCCTTTGCTGCTTATACAGTGACTACTAATCATCCTATATTGGTGTCATCTGCAAACTTGAACAGTTTGCTAACTACTTAAGAATGTAGATCATTTATCCTAACACTGATCCCTGTTGTATTCCACTACGCATATCACCCCAGTCAAAGGATTATCCACTATCTATACATTAACTAGTTTTCAATTAAGAAAAGGTAAACAAACTACCTACTTCAAACATTTGAATGTTTTTCAAAATTCAATTATTAAAGTTATTGTTTTAGAAGTACATCTTCAAAATCCTTCAGAAAATCTAAATATACGATAACTCAGTGTGTTATTGTTGCTTGTTCAACAAAGTCAGTTAAGCATGGCATACCTTTTCAAAAACAATGTTAAATATCCCCGCAGATCAGATCTTTTAAGCTAATACACTAATAAGTTTTATGGTTGGACAGGTACAGTACATCCTTAATGTGAAGCTGTTTTGCTTTTGCTAGTTACAAATCACCCAGCCAGTCGGGATCCTTATTCCTTCTTTCTTTGTGTGTCATCTTTAATTTTCAAATTTGCCAAGTTGCAAAACATTGACAACAAATTGGTATGATGCTACCTCAATAACCTCATAATTTGAGACCCATTCCAGAGTATGAAAGTGATGTACTCTTGCTCTGTTTTTGCCATACAGCAATCACTTTCTCATCGAAAATAAGTATGGCCTGTCCAAAATGGCAACGTGCCAGGGCCAGTGGAAAAAAACACAAGAAGAACTCACATAAGAGTTTTAAAGATGTGACAAAACAGGCTGAATTCCACACTTACTATATAGGAAAGTGAAAACATGTTGCATTATAGACGTGTCCGTCGTGGCAAAAGAGGAATAAATGTATTGTAGGAGAAAGACAAACTACTCCAACAATTTTTATATACAGAAACATGAAAAGCCCCAGCATGCCCTTTACCAGAGATACTAATGCTTGGACTACTATTCTAATATCACATTACACTACGTCATCATGAAAGGAGGTTCGTTACAATTTGTGCAATGTAAAACAGATAAAATTGGAACTCCCTAGATCACAAGAATGCTGCTAATAAAAAAAAAAACTAAATCATTCATTTTTAATTTCTTATTTTATGAACGTGGACAAAACTTCAACTACAGCAGATTGCACATTTAAATACAAATTTGTATAAAAGTTATTTATTTTATATCTCTGTTCCCGATTAAGTTGATAATTATACTATTTTATCCTCTGGTACCCATGTAGCATGTGATTGACATGAGATATGATACAAGATCTGTTTTTAAATCTGTCTGCCCCTAATTTGTTTTAATAACTTCTATAATGGAAATTTTGAACATCATTGTGCTAGTTGTAGCATGTGCTAATAAAGCACAGCTGTAGTACTGTATATTGAATGTATTCTCATTCCTTTTAAGTTCAAATCTTTCTCACATTTGAGAGATAATGCAGACGTCTGCTTATTTTTTTGAGTTGCACCAGAAATGTATCATTTCTAGATTTTCCTAAAGAAAAAAATATAAAAATAAAGCACATTAATTCTTCTTAAAAATGTCTGCTCTCCAGTTACAGTGAATACGAAGGCTGCTATTTAACAACACCTACAGAAAAGACTGTATCTAAAAAGAAAAAGAACAGTTTCTAATATGACAGATTCCTCTTGTTTGAACTCCACAACTTGTATGGTTGTGTTCACGTCATGCAATTCTCAGGTCAAGATGATGGAAATTGTATTACAGATATTATAACCCATCAGTGGATATCTACCATCTCTTTTCTTTTTCATAAGCAGGAATAACTATCATTTTTGCTCACAGGTCTAAAATGTTCTGGTTTGAAAATTGTGGGGGGAGGGGGAATCTGCAAAACTACAATCCGTACAGTACTTTGTAGAAAAAAGAAAAGCTCAAGGTTGTGAAAAACACTTTCTGGTGAATTAAGTGCTCCATTAAGCTGAAGAAGGACTATAATACTGGCTACACTTACACAGACCATCAAAAACCCTGCTTTAACCTACTATCTGTAGGTCAAGAGAGACATTATGGGAACAGGTTGCTAGCGTTTGTGAATTACAGTAATATTTCATTTCCAGTAGATACCAGGTACAAAACCATTCTTCAAAATCACATTTTCTTCTGTGAGTCATAGCCTGTTCAATGATTATATACAAATACAGTAGTAAACAACAAAGTAAAAAAAAACACATAAGAATTTCTTGGTCACACGTCCAAAGAGGCTCTCAGTATAAAAAGAATCACAGGTCCTTGGTGTCTTGTGATTGTGATCATGATTATTACAATGGAATCCAAATGGAAATTTAAGGATTTGGCAGGGGGAAAAAATGCCATGGTTCCATGCTACTACTGGAAGATTTGGTCAGTTCCTCATTGAGCCAAGTGGAAAAAAGTTTGTTCTCAGCCTGGATTTGAACAAACTCCATCCTGCTGGTTCACTGCATGCCAGGATTACAGTACCTGGATCAGGGCTCCTAGCAACGGGTAAGGTGAAGTTTCTTAGGACATTCTTGATTTGTTACCAAAAGAGAATTTACTCAGGCACTGCCCAAGTGAATCAATGCAACCATTGGGAACTGTGATCATGTTCTGATTTCTAAAAAAAACAGAGCGGATACAAAAATAAAAAACAGTGAAGATCAGATGGGATGGGCATCACCACTATATAGCACTCTGGCCCATTTTACAGGTATTAGGTGGTGCAAGCGATTGTGCAAATTCAGCGCAGAGGGCAGAGTGGTGGCACTGTGGTTAAGGATCTGCACCTGAGGCTGGAAGATTGCTGGTTCAAATCCCGCAGCTGGCAGAGGAATCCTACTTTGTTGGGCCCCTGACCAAGGCCCTTGATCCCAACTACCCCAGGTGTCATGGCTGACCCTGCACTCTGACCCCAGGCTTCTCTCTCCCTCTCTGTAATCCTCATAGAGAGCAGGCTGGGGTATGCAAAAAGACAAATTCCTAATGCAAGAAATTGTATAGGGCTTAATAAAGTGATCTGGGTCAGATAAAACAATTATTTTTCACAGACCTGAAGAACAAAAATCAAACCCTCTACTCAATGAAAAAAAACAAACAAACAAACAAATACATTGTGGTAATATAACCCTGTTTTTAATTTCACCAATGCTATATACTGCAAAAAGATACTTTTACATGTACTGAGTTGTCCTCAATTAACACTCTACACTTTGCCAAAGAATTAAAGTAATTATCTAAAAGATAGACCAATAAACAGTATTAAAAGCTCCTGTACTGCTCTGAAGACTGAAATTTACATTTAACACAAAAAATATTGCTTTCAAGAAACACCTTAAAATTGTATAAATTATGTATTACAGCTAATATGAACATTTAATAATAATAATTTTTGCTTACACTTATATACTGTACCGCTTTTCTGGACACTCCACTCAAGGCGCTTTACAGGTAATGGGGACTCCCCTCCACCACCACCAATGTGCAGCACCCACCTGGATGATATTTAAACTAATGCCCTTGTTAAGAGAAAAGGTCTTGCACAAGCTGTATGAAACCTCCTCCTTGAGAAACATTTAAGGTGAAAACTAAAAGATAATGTGAGGTATTTTTGTCTTAACTGACTTTAGTCCGCATCAGCATAAAATAAGAAATGCATTCTCAGCTTAAATGGGAAATGAGACAATCCTGCCCAGATACAGGCTACAGTAAGTCCAAAATTACAGTAAACATACACAGACTACTTTAAGTCAAGACTTTGACCAACTTCAAATATTTTCAATGACAGTTTAAAATTGAATAAAAGCTTGTAGGTTTTGTTAACCAAAAAGTAACCATCAGGCACTCAACGTGATATTGCGGATGGAAGGTAAAAACAAAGCGGTTAATTTAAGCTGCTGTTTTAAATACATTGTTTATTCTAAACAATTTCAGTTTCACATAGGCACTATTGAAATGAACCGATTTCTCTGAAATAAGTATGAGACAGAAAAATACATAGGAACCAAAATAGAGGAAGTCTTTAAAATGGTGCCTGGTTGCTAAATCCGGTTTTCTTTTTTTAGGAAGAATCACAGCGGCCCAATGTGTATAGCCTTTGCGAAAAGAGTTTTTAAATTTTTCACTAATGAATTACATTCCACATTTATTGTCCAAAAGTCATCATAACCGTTGTATTATTTATTGAACTAATATTGAGTGACAGCTGTTTAACGCTACCTTCAAGATGTACTGAAGCTCCTGAGCCCCAATAATGAGCAAGGCTCGCTTAATTCCTCTACCTGAATGGAGTTTCAAGCTGTATCATTTCTTCTCTTCCCTGGCGCACTTGATGTCTAACCCACATTTTCAATTTAAACACCATCACATTCAGGAAGCAATTTAAAGGTTTTTGTTTTGTTTAATACTGTTTGCCCTGGACAGTTTGTAAACTATTATAAAGACATTGTTATAAAACTGAAGAGTTTATAATACAAAGGAAACCACTGCAAAACAATCTACAACCCGTAGTTCCGACGACTTAGAGAACAAGCTTAAAATAGCTCTGCAGTTAATATAGTATTGCAGCAAATTCCTCCTTATGTTTACTGTTACACAACACTGTCACTGGCGCACCAAGAGCACATTTTCTGACCATATAGAGCACTGCGTTGAGAGGTGAAGAACAGCAGCACACTTAACGTCAGGCGCAAAATGTGTACAGCATGACTGCATAATTAAACTCTAACAACAAAAACAACATAGTACAGAGCACTGTATGTGTGTTTATGGAGAGGAAAACCAATGTAGCCCACAAATTACATGCAAATGTGTTATACGTTTATAATTGCACTCATTTCTGGACCTTTCACTTCGTCTCAAAGACCACGCTTGCAGATTCGCTCACACTCTCAGGTATCACTGCAAAGACGTAAATAGATCAAGCTTACGTGGTCAATACCAAAGGTGTCGCTTCCAGAGATCTTACAGTTAGCTCAGCAAAGGGCTTTTACTTGTGGCACCGACTACAGTCAGTGTGTTTTATTTAAAAACCACGTTTAATTTTTTTAACACTTTCCTCGACGTGAAGCCTTTTTGTCCTGTAAAAAAGCTCTAATTGTTGTGCGCCAGCGTCACAACTAGTTTTAATCTAATTGAACTGAAAATACGCCCACCAAATACAGCATACACAAAAACAGTATATAAGGAAGTTGCCATAAACACATTTGTTCCTTTGAATGTCAGCGAAGGCAATTTTGTCACCGGACAGCACAGCAGTTGCATTCTTCATCTAGGTGGGGTGCTATTTTTTTTTTTTTGCAATGCAGGCAAAAATATAACGTAGCAAGTCGATGCTGAATATAATAACCTTTTCCATACACAGATGCACCGCCTGTACCTCTGCTTTGTGCATCTTCTCGCCCGGAAACTAACAGTGCATACCTGTTATTTTGATTCCGTTTTCCCGTGGAAATGCTGAGCGTCCGCCTCCTCGTGCTTTACCAGGTACTAACCACCATCCTGAACGCAACGAAGAAAACGTTTGGGGGTGAGATAGACGGTGCAGAATGTTTCTCTCCTCTCCTCTCCTCCTGAAGCAATCTGGATCTTTTCCCCTGGAGAACCCATGCTTTTCAGAAAGCCGAAGGCTCCACCTGCTGGCAAAGAACAGGAAGGTGCAACATCCATAGGTGCACAACAGCGTCAGAGAGGTTGAGAAGAATTTTTTTATCGGCTAAAGTTAGAAAATATAAAAGACGTTTTTTTTTTCTTTTTTTAAGGGAGTTCTAACTACAGTTCAACAATCGTGATTTGTTCTTGGTCTTTGTACGAAGACGAAGGTTTCTTATATCCATTGGTTTTGTGTTTGATTAGTTTGGTTGTCTTGTGAGATGAAATTATCAACTATTTTAGTTCTTTTAGATTGGTTATTTGCGATTTAATTACTTGCGAGATGGCTTTAATCGTGAATGGTGCCTTTATACAATGAGAAAAAAAACTGACTGCAATACTAGTGCTTCGGCACAAATCTGAACAAGTAAAATACATACTCTATAATAGAGATTTCTAACATGGATCTTGGTCCCAATTCAGCACCTTTTGTAGGTCACCATTACTTTGTGTCTTAATATATGAAACGATTTCATTGTGATCAAACAGGTGACTTGTCAAAGTAAGTAATTTACAGATCATTTAAGACTAAAGTCTAAGTACTCTCTAGCCTTCAAGGACCTTAGATTGTATTAATTCAACAGATTACCTGCTTTCATTCATCAAATGTTTACAGGTGTTTTCAGCCTTTTCAACCAGGTGAAAGATAAGACTAGGTCACAGACCCCTGGTTTAACTGAATGTGTGGAGCTGTACAAAAATATAAATATAATGTCTCAGTATCTGGGGCACTTAGTACATCAGAGTTCTCAGTCCTGATTCTGGGGGAGTGCTGTCTTCTGTTTTTTTTTCTCCGTAATCTTAATGGTAAACTTATTTATTCCAAATGTAGGTGTTTTTATTTTATTGTACCTCATAAAGGCTTATGGTTCAGAATTGATATCAACCCTGTGCCAACCCCTAAGACTCAGAATTCCCCTCATTCTGGTGCATTAGCCAAAATGTAACCAATGGGATTTAAGCCAAAGGAAAATGAAATACTTGCTATGGGAATGTCTGATATATTACCATTCCCATCTGGCTGTTCATTATAACATGACTGTCAGTTAAGAGCTTTTTAACCTAAATAAGTGAACAAATTCATAATTAGCATGTTGAAGAGAGACTATATGAAATTCTGTATGCCAAAGTTGTTGAAAATAATACAGTACATTAACGGGATTTTTTTTAAACTGACGAGCGTGGAAAAGGCGTAAATAAGCAAGCAGATCAATTAGCACCAGTGAGTAAAGGCCTAGTTGGAGCAATAACCACCAGATGCTGTTGTCCCTTAGGATCAGCATGGGGAACCACTGCTCTAAAGTAACAATACAGACAAATTATCTTATTTGAAAGATGTACGTTCCTCAGTCTCTAAAATGACTCACACGAGTAATATAGCAGTATAAGTGGAGCGAGCTTTGCTGATAGGGAAAAAAAGACAACCAAGTGCTTTTGAAATTCTTGACACAAGGAATACAAGGCTGTGGACAACAAATTGGAGAATAACTGTACTATACAACTACTGCCCACCATACCATGACCAGTATGTTGTCACACACCCTAGGGATGTGTGCTTAGTCCATTGCTCTACTCCCTCTACACCCACGACTGTAAGGACAAACATAACACCAACTCTATCTCATCAAGTTTGCCGATGACATCACAGTTGTAGGTCTGATCACAGACAATGATGAGAGGGCCTACAGGGAGGAGGTCAATCTCCTTATAACGTGGTGTGAAGACAACAACCTCACCCTCAAGGTCAGCAAAACCAAGGAGTGGAAAGGGTCAATAACTTCAAATTCCTTGGCGTCCATATCACTGAGGACCTCACATGGTCTCTCAACGCCACTTGTCTGATCAAGAAAGCACAACAGCGCCTGTACTTCCTAAGATGGTTGAAGAAGCCCTAAGATATGTCCCCAGATCCTCACTAACTTTTACAGATGCACTACAGAAAGCACACTGACAGGTTGCATCACTGTGTGGTATGGCAACTGCAGTATTGCTGACCGCAAATCCCTACAGCAGGTGGTGAAAACTGCCCAATGCATCGCTGGGGTTGCCCTCCCATCCATCCAGGACATTTATGACAGATGGTGCTTGAGGAAAGCTCTAAGCATCATCAAAGACCCCACACACCCCAGCTACAGACTGTCTGACCCTCTAACATCTGGAAAACGGTACCGGAGCATTCAGGCCTGGATTACCAGACTCACAGTTTTTACCCCCGCACTATCAAACTATTAAACTCCCAGCCACCCTCACCTACGATCTGAACCCTCACAGTGCCTTCTCTCTTTGTCGGATCTCAAACACACATTGAAATCTACCTCTACCTCACATGTCAAGAAGTTCACTCCCCATAATTTTCTATCCTTTATTTTGTTCTGTTGATGTATGATTTTGCACAACTGATGTTGTTTTTCACATTACCTGTTTCCTGTTGTTGTGTTGCACATTGCCTTTTGTCTCTGTCTTTCTTTTCTTATTCAATTGTATTGTTGTTTTTTTGTGCTACTTACCGTCTGAGAGCTAGCTAATTAGCATTTCATTATACCATATACCTGTGTATCAGTATAATGACAACAATCTTGAACTTGAACTTGATTTTGGACCAGTTGTAGACAGCGAGAGGCAATGGACTGGACCTGAGGCCTTGGCAGTATGGTGTCCTTGCCACCTCTGCCAGATAAGCAGTGTATGCTGCTGAAAGTGCCTGAGTGTGGTTAAGATGCCCCATCGACAAGGACACACAAAACTCCTTGTGTAGCACGCTCTCCAGTCTCCACTGCTGGCTCAGACACACCGAGGGCTGAGATGGTAGGACATCCACTCGCTCCACCAACAGTTTCTTAACAGGGCCTTTGTTGTCCGCATTGGGACAGTGTAAAGATGTTCTACTACTTGACACAAGAAGGGCGTGCTTTGTCCTCTTCAAGGAGGTGCATACAGGATGTCATCCAAAACATCTGCATGAAAGGGCCAGGGTCAAGCATGGAGAATGTCCAGTTTGGCAAAGGTAAGTGGAAGTTTCTGCAGAGCCTCAAGCCAAGGCAAGTGAATAGTGGCAGCTTGGAAGCTTTCCTCCAAGGAGCATTGCCTGTGAGGTTTTTAAAGACAAGTGGATCAAAGGCAGGCAGGTGGGAGGAAACTGCTCACACTTTCTCATCCTCCCTTGTGTGAGGTTGCTGGGTTCATAGCTGTAGGCTGAGACATTAAAAAACAACAAATGACAATTCCAAAAAAATCACGTGCGTATAACAAAAAAAATTGGAAAGATTACAAAATCCCACTCCCACAAGACAGAGGTTTGAAATGTGAATACCAAACACTTTTCATTTCAAGGCTTATTGTATGTTTGACCAACTGGATGAAAAGCAAGTTCTCGCCTGTGTCTCTAGCACAGCAATAACACTGATATTTCCAGATGGCACTCTGAAGGGGTCTTGGGCCCCAGCTGTGTGGGGGGAAATTAGAAATGCGTCCGCAATTAGGACATCAATTTTTTTTAAAAAGCATACATTTTCATTGCAACTCACTGTTAATGTAGTACAGTTCATCCCTTACAAATCTCAAACAGTTTATGAGAACAGCGAACTTAAAATAGACTCCTTTGGATCTGTAGACGCTGAGATTTGTTCCAGGGTTAAAAGGTGAGACGTGACAGTGTAACCTTCTGCACCCATTAGTGTCAGTCGTACTAAGTCTTTTCTTTGTTGTAGCCATGCATCATGATTTATTATACACCTCCATATTTCAGAGTACTTTTTTATTACAGAATTATATTTAATTTACGTATCAAATCAGAGATTGTATGAATTACATACTAAAAGTAGAAATAAAACAAAACAAAAAAAACATAAACTAATTAACATATGAAATTGAATAACATATGAATAGTTTTATATACTTAGCAGACTCCTACTAATATTGTCCTAGTCCAAAGTGTCAAACAAAGGAGGCTTTATATCTTAAATTGGTTTTAATTTAATAGCTCTCAACTTACCTGTACAATCAGAAAAGTTGCTCATTAAAATAATTTGGGGGGATAAATTAAAGGAAAGGGTAAATTCATTCTAATATTTTAGTTATTTCCTTCCAAAATCTTTAAAACCTTAGGATATGTAAAAAACATGTGAGAAAAATTACGTTGTATTACCACATCTCCAGTAATTGTATTTTTGTAATTTCATCTGAAAAACTTTCTGGAAGTAAAATATATCCTATGCATTAATTTGAATTGAATAGATTTTTTTTTTATTTGGAGACCAAAACTTCACATTTCTACAAATGTGAATCCATGCTTTCCTGTCTCTTTTTTATTAAAGTTCTGAGCTGAAAAATATTTTCATTGAAAATCATTGTCTGATGTTTTTATGTAATACATACAGACTTCAATTTAGATATTTGAGATAGAAGGGGGTTTTCAAGAAGAGTGTAATTCATTTTTAAATACACTGTCTTGTTAGTTTCAGAACAGCATCTGTAAGTTTGAAGTACATTTTTGATTGATCATTTGGAAATGAGGAATGTTTCTTGAGATGTCTCCATGATATTACACCTTTATTCATTACTAGGTCACCAACTTGTAAAAACCCCACTCTGTAATGGTTTATTGTGATTTGCATAGGATTTCCCCAAAGACCTGACAATAACTAATGATTATTACATTTTGAAATAGCTGCAATCTGCTTAAAAAGATAGGAGGCATTTGGAATTATGGACTATGTTTTTAATATTTCACCAGGGCCTCCTCTAGATTTTATGGAGGGAGTTTGGCCAGCAAGTGCAGTGGTGAGACTAAGCACATTTGCACATTTCCCGATCCCAAGGGTAAAAGATATCTCTCCATTTTGAAGGGTGAAACCATATGGTGGGGTGGGGACCAGATTTCTCAGTGATTGGCTGCCTTTAATTGAGCGGTTACCACAGCTGATTTTTACAAATCTATTCATTAACAAATCCTCTGATGGCAGCATTAGCTGTCACATACTTTTTACTTCCTCCACACCACCTGTCTTGTGATTGTAATGGGTACTTGTACTGCTACTCTTAGTCATACAGTTCTCCAACTACCGTGCTATGGCAACAACACCATCCTCCTTCAAGTACTGTTGGAGTGGCGCTTAGCTATCCTTATACCCTTTTATTATTGCTTTCGAATCAACTAAAATCTCTAATGATCTTCCAGGCAGTTTTACATGAGGACCTGAACAACCACAGCAACAAACCTTGTTTTACACATGCAGCAATAAGTGTATGAGAAATCCCATTTATAGAATCTCAATGGAATCTTGCAATTAATTATAAAAAATGTTAAAAGGCTAAAACCTTTTAAAGCTTCATTCAGAAAATGTCATAGACTGGCAGGCTGCAAGTATGGGAAATATCAGGATTTTTCAACCATATCACCTTGCAACTCTCAACTGGCTACCTACTGAACCTAAGCAGGGTTGAGCCTGTAGGAAGTGGTGTTAGTGGCACCAGCAGGGGGCGCCCACCCTGCAGTCTGTGTGGGTCCTAATGCCCCGGTACAGTGGCAGGAACGCTATAACATAACATCACTTTATTAGCCCTGTACAATTTCTTGCATTAGGAATTCGTCTTTTCACATACCCCAGCTTGTTCTCCATGAGACACATACACATAGACAGGGAGAGAAGCCTGGGGTCAGAGCGCTGGGTCAGCCATTGTACAGTGCCCAGCAGTTGGGAGTAAGGGCCTTGCTCAGTAGTACGGAGTAGGATTCCTCTGCCAGCTGCGGGATTTGAACCGGCAACCTTCCAGCCACAGGCGCAGATCCTTAGCCACGGAGCCACTGCTATACTGTAGTGGGCGCCGTCTTTCAGATGGGATATTAAACCGAGGTCCTTATTCTCAGTGGTCGTTAAAGATCCCCAGGCATTTGTCGATAAGAGTGATTGCGGTGTCCGGGCCAAATTTCCACCTACACCCTCGGCTTTTAGCGTGGCCTCTAAATTGTCCCCATGTATGATTGTCTTGCACTTGCCCTGCAATGGACTGGTGCCCCATCCAGGCTGTACCCTGCCTTGCACTCATTGCTTCTCAATGAAATGTATACAGTGCTTATTTCCTGAATACACTTATTTTTGTACCATAACCCAAGATGCTTCTTTCCAGTGCTGTGACCTAACTGCTGGTGACACCTTAAATGTCTTGATCAACATTAATATTAAATTTAAAGCATTTCCTGTTCAAAATGTATCTGTTACACAAATATTAGAGAGGGATTATTCATTGCCAACATTGCTTTTCATCTTGTAACAGTCAACAGTCAGTGCCACCATCTGGAGGCAAAGATAAATATTCCTTGGTCTGTTGATGACGCTCATAAATGCTACTTCCTCTCAGCAATTTATTATCCCCCCCCCCAGTGTTCATGTGCTCTTCCTCTGGGTGCTCTTATTTTCTCGCTCATCACAAATACCTACCCACTAGGTTAGTATGTGTCTCTGAACTTTCCCCGTGAGTACCTTGCACCCTGTGCTTTTGGACTAGACGTTTCATTTCAGTGACCCTAGTAGGAATCAGTAGTGTTCCCAACAGATGCTTTAATCCTTTTATTTTCTTTGTTTGTCTACACAATTTGCAGAACTTTTGCAAAGGTCTGTTCTGAACCGCAAATGTGATGGACTTATAAATGAATACTCTCAACTTCTTGAGAACCATACAGTGGAACATTGCTCTAAAGGGCGTTTCCATCCAAAGCTTCACTTATGGTAGTCAGGAGAGAATAGCATTATCAATTTATGAAGTTTAAATCCCTTTTTTCCCCAAAACTGTCACTTGCTTGAGATCCTGAAATTGACTAAATTGATCCCCCTAATGCAACAGCAAAACTCAATGAAACATGATTACAATAGAGAATGCAGTCTGACATCTCCAAACCTTAGCGTGGTTCATGCAGTAGTTCAATTCCTATTTGAAATAAGAATGAAAATAATCTTGTCAAAACACACTAGCTTGTTCAAAAGCACCGTTTATTTACATATGCAAATAAGAGAATAGCTCTGCTGTATTTTACAATGCATTTTAAGAAATACACTTTGACATCAACTTATATTTACACAAAGTAGCATTACGACATTCGAAATGGTCCAGAACACACAATATGCACAGGCTGAAAACCACTGTAACATAAATAACATTGAACTGTACTGTACAAGATATTTTTGGTTTGCGTATCCCTTGGTGGGCAAATGATTACTGATGTAAGTATACGATTCAGAAAAATGGACCTGCATTTGAATTATGAAATTAAGTGCAATACAGCTCAGGCTTAAAATGAAATTTTCATCTAACCCTGCCATTCAAGAGTCTCAAACTCAACTCCTGATGGGATTAGTGTCTTCTTGTTTCTGAAGCTAATTTACGTAACCAAAGCTAATTTACATAGCTGGTCTAATCAGTTAGTGTACAACTGTATTCTGAGGTGTTTTACACACACGTTTGATGAATTGAAAGTTTGAATAATACACTGTAAAAAGCCGTAAGAGAAAACCTATATACAGTATGTCCAACAAAGAAAATTAGTGTTTGACTTCTCAAGTAAGAAAAAAAACAGAAGACACTAGGCTCTTCAGGAATTTTGAGATATGAAATCCCTGCTGTAAGCAAACAGAAAAGTTAATGACCTGAAACCCATCACTGTGAGCCACACATTCCTCCCCTTATACCTTTCACACTAAAAAAAAACATCAGCTTTGAAAACTGATAATCAATGTACTAAGATAAATATCTACTAGATTTATTCTCTAAAGCACTGTAAAATCAATTTAATAGGCGAGAAAGAATTAATTGAATCACTTATTTCTTGTGGGGTTTGTACTTAACCATGGTCTCATTTTCTCCATTACAGTACATACAGTATCCTTATGTAGCTCAATATATAAAATTTGGAGGGTATACATCTGGTTTAGTCTATGGGAACACATTTTAAACATTCAGAGTTTCTGCAGTTTACATTGCTGTTACATGGCCATTTCATTATATAGGAATAATTCATTGTGATAAAGGAGAATTAAAGGGTCTATACATTTTACATGTTCATACATTGTAAACCTTTTCACAAAATGTGGCTTAATTCTGGTCATTTAGTAAAACATTCAGGACCTGTAGATTTTTAATAACTTAAAATGATATTAGGCAGAATATATAACTTCTGACAGGGAATCTGGATACATGTAGCACTATTACACGTCTTCAGACAATATATTTATTAAGGAATCAGCAAGACACATGTAGAACTTTCACAAGCATAACAAGTACTTTCTAGGATACTTTTAAGATGTCACAAGATATTTCTACTCGCAATCCTGATTTAATTCAAATCTGTTCTTCAGTTTTTCTGTCTCAAGTGCCTGCATTCATCCAATGAAATTTGTTTCTCAGCTGATGTTACTATGCTGGGACTCACAATTCACTCCGACAAGAAAGAGGAGGCAACTCAACTGTAGCCCTTCAATCTGAAAGATGTTCCTGTCCCAGATGAAAATGCACATCCCTTATCCAGAAACCTGGAAAGCTTGCCATCAAGTGCCAGGAAAAAATATTTTTATCTTTTCTGCCTCTCATCAGACTTTGCAGAGACTGAATGATATTATATGAAATAAGTAACTGCTTCCTGTCTTGAGACATACTGTACATACAGGCCATACAGTCCCCCATGATCCCTTCCCTGGACAGGCTCTGCCAAATAACTCAACTGTGCTGTTTAAAGCATACCATATGTACCCAGAGATTTAGTACAGTGTGCAATTGTTAAGAAACTGTAATACACTTTGGCAGCTTTTGAACATTTTCAGGTATTTGAGGCAGATGTTCAATGTGTTCAGCAAAAAGTACAACTGGTACAAATCTGTCTGTACTGTATATTGCATCATAAAATCCCTGATACTATGTGTATATTATTACAATGCTATATGTGTATTTGATTTTCATTTGGTATAGCACCCTTGGCAATAAGTGACTACAGAGAGCTTTAAAAGTGATGATCATGATAAGTGCATGATAAGATTAAATTTGTAGACATATTTGGACAAGTGAATACTTGCACTTGGGTATGACACGATCATGTATTCAACATAGCAGGATAAAGATTCTTCTAAATTTCCTAGCAGCAATTTAGGATAAGATGCCTAAATATTATAACTTCCCACTAAGTTAGTGGGTCAAAACAATAAAAAAAATATTCTTCCTCCTTATGCTGTACTCTAAATTCCACTGTTTTTTCCCTGCAATGGATAAAATATTTCTGAGCAATGTTATCTTATCAGCAATGTTTAGAGTTATTTTGCTCTTTATTAATAACCTCCCTATCTTAAAACATGTTCAGCATCTGCAAGATAAACTCAATGGCCAAAATCTTAAGAATCCTCAGTGAATGTACTGGGGTGGGTAAATGATGAACAAAACCACCTTAAAACTGTATAAGGCATTTGTGTCTCAAAGCTATGAAATACAGCACATGTGGCTCAATCTCATCCCATTCTATAACAATCACTGTCAATTGAAGTTCAGTTGAGCATAATTAAATTTTCAAAAGGGCTGATACCTGAGCATTGCTCTGACCAGGAAAAGATGACCCTCTTCTTCTCCTCCAGCAAATCACACATTGGAGGTTCTTATTTTATTGACCAATAAGTGTACATGAATCATATTGTACCTTATACTGTATATACTGTATCAACAATATACTTTATATTTGAAGCACCTGCACATAGAAACATACACACTTACATTCTTGCATCACATTTCAAGTTAAGTGACTCTTTAAGTGATTATATACAGAATTCAAGAACTGACTTACATTTCTAAAACGGAATAATATCACCATTACTGATGAATGACCTCATTCTGCAGGGAAGTCTGAGATGTCACTGGTAAATGTCTACTCTTTGTACTTAATCAGTAAAAAATGATAATGAGTACCAATTAAGATTTTTTACATATATTAAATACACTTATTCACACAAAACCAAATCCAACACCCTCCCCTGTCCTTCTCTTATTGTCTGAAAAGCTCATTAAAACATTCAAGGCACAGCTAAAGCTCAGCTTCTGACAAGCTATCCTATAAAACACCAATATTACAACAGATACTGTATGTCTTATATTTCTTCATTGATGCTGTTTTTCTTTCAAGCTCTTTCAAGTTTCATAATGACTAGTGCAGCAAAACTAAAGCCTGCAGTGACCCAATAGCCATTCTGCTTCTAAAAACCTACAGACTGAACAGACATGCCTGTATGTTTGTCTCCTTGGATATTTTTTTAAATACACTTAACTTAGTACCAACATTTAAGCACAGTGCAGCGGCCAGCCAAAGGATGATTATCACTTTAAAACGTTCAACATACGAAAGGCAATTACTCACAAAAATATTGTGTTTATACGGAGACCACATCTTAGTAAAAAAAAAAGATTTGCACAATTTATTGAAGCAAAATTATCGGCTAGATAACTTCTTCTACATTTTTATTTTTCCGTTTCACACTTAACCCTCCCTTCACTGTGGTTTTACCATACTTTCACTCTAATATTATATGCCAGCCTTTGAAAATACCATGATATATCGACCTTTATAAATATTCCTTTTGGTAAATCATGGTATTTTAACATTCTAGTGTGGCAAAGCACACCATGAAAGCTTTTGTAAAGCATTTATTTAAAATATATATATAAAATTCCACAATGACCACATATTTACGGTGTCAATCTGCCCCCTTTCCACATTTCTCTGATATCTGTGTACCACCTCTTTAAAAACCTGACGATCAGATACTTTTTCATTTTTGACAACCCTGAAAGGTAGGACATGAAGCCAGAAAAGCTAAGGAGCATCTATCTATTAATGAGGAGAAAGCTGCTTCTTCCTAGAAAGAACAAGCAGTTTCAGGAATTCTACTTATTGGGCAGTAACATGGAGCTTCTCCTGAAAGCATAAGGCATATGTTTGTACTACAGCTGGGAAGGGAAACCAGTGCATTGCAGGGACAATTTACAGACACCGAGCAAGACAACTGACTTGAGTCGGCATGTTTTTGAAAGGCAGGAAGTAACCACAGTGCCTGGAACAATCCCCTGTGGAGAGAAGAACTCCACACAGAAAGCACCTCAGCTTAGAATTGAAACCAGGATCTAACAGTGTCTCAAACAGATACAGAGCAATGGTGACAATCTTTTATGAACCACAGTTAAAATTTAATATTTAAAGCTTGTATGCCTTACAATTTGTTATTGCACTAGTATGTCTCATACAATGTGTTTTTTTTGGACTGAGAATTTAATTTTGTTGCTACTCTCCCTAGTCATTCATGCATAGTGTTAAATGTACTGGTTACAGTTTTATTCTATTTTCTATGGTGACTTAATTTTGAAATAAAATTAAGATAAGAACGTTAAATACGTGTAATCTGAAAACTCTTTACAGTCTGGCATCAGCTGACATATCCTGCATTAGGCTACAGCATGGGGGTCTGCAGAGAACCACACTGAATTCCCAGCTAACACTGGCTCCTGGACACTGCCAGAGTTTGAGGAGTCCCAACACTAAATTTACTGGCTAACACTGGTTCCTCAGAAGTCCGTTTACACTGTGTATCCCAACAGCAACAGCCCTGACTCACCTGACACTTGCGTTGCTCACTAGTCATTTGACAAGCAATTATCTACCTTCTCACAACATCTCTTCTAATCCAACAAGAACAGTTTGTACACTCGGATCAAGCATCAGTGAGTCAGGATCACAGTCGGAGGTGGTGCTACAACACATACATCCAATTATCCAATCTAGACAAATTTCAACCAAAAACATTACTGAATTACTTGTTGAAGCTTAATTTTTTTCATGTATTCTTCTCTAAAATACATAGCTGATTGTTTTGCTTTATTTGTGCTAACGAAACATATGCCTCCATTTTATATAACACAGGAGAGCCAATGGCCTGCATTGTGACCCTGAGCTCCAAGTGAATCCATTTACTGTACATATAATGGCTAGCAAAACTCCTGGCTGACATTTGCCAGACACTATAGAGTAACTTCACTCAACAAAATTAGCAAAAAACAGCACATGTACAGTACTGTAGGATTTATTTCCATACACTGCTTCAGATGCAGAAAAGCTGTGCAGCTTTAAACTGGAAGGTTTCTTTATTACCCTGTATCGTATTCACATATTTAAAAAAACATGAACAAACAAGTTCAGAATGATTGAGAGGTCTTTGATCCTGTTCTGATATTTTCAGACATTAGGTCCGTGCAGACTGTCTGATTACGGTACTGCCAAGTACCTCAGTAAACAAACTACTGTGAATCCCAGATCCCCCATAGCAAAGAGGTGACTCAGTCTAAAAATAAAGCATCATTTTGTTTAGTAGCAGGTATTTACAAAGAAGGAAAAATAAATGTCTATACACATCAGGAATAATAAGTTCCCCAATTTGTTTTTATACAAACAAAAACACACACACATACACTCCTTGACACTTTCCTACAGAGAAGTATCGTTTGACACTGAATCCAAAGCCTTACTTATCATGACTGCTTTCTAAGAATTACTTTTATTCTGTTACCTAGAACTGACTTCTCCCAAACTCACTCTCAGAAAGATCATGTAATACAATCACAGAAACAGTCCTGAGTCTTGTTTAGTTTCCGGATTGTACTGTATAGATCTTGTCACATTACTGGCATGGTAAATTTGTCCTGTAATACAGAGGGACAATTTACTGTAGCATAATCTATATGAAGTGACTCATTACAACACCATTCAACATCTGGACAACCTAAGAGACTTCTATAACTGCTTCCATAACTTTTGGTACGGTTTGGTAACCAACCAAGTCATATAGCAGAGTGGACGGAAGATGACAGGCATTATAACCAAATTGTTATCTTATCATGAAGAACACGTTTGATTTGGGATTTCAGTCACTATTGGTATGAGTACCAGGGTCCAAACAAAAGCAAGCAGACCTTCCTAAGAAAATGTGAAATTGGTTACAGTGAAGCAGATTCCATTCCAGGCTAAAAAAGCCGGTATCTACTGACCTTAAATGTGACTCAAATATTCGAACTGGCCATTCGAACTTGCTTTTTTTCCCCCAAAGCATCTCCTAAAAGTCTTCTTTTAAGTTTTTTATACACTAAAATGTGTAGCCGCACTGACACGAGACGACATTCACATTGAAACTTACAGGCAATGCAATAGCTGCTAGTGTCTCACAAGGGCTTCCTCGACACAGCTCAGTGAGGGTTGGTCTAGGTTCCCTTTTAACTGTTTTTGTTTGTTTTTCAGAATTGTATTCAACTGAAGCAGACATCAGGCTGGAGAAGACCAAGGTGCTCCCTTTAAGAGTCTCCCTCTTCCTCTTGCCAATGGTTTCTGGCATCCAGCTCATCAGGATCATTCAGAAAGGCCTCTTTTTCAGGAACTGTGGGTTCACCGTTTGACATGCGTGCCTGTTTGTATCCATTTTCTGTGGCTGACTGGGCAAGGGCTGCCTCTGTACTGTGTCTCATTCCATACCCAAAGTAGATGATGAAACCTGAGCAAGCAAGCAACAACAGTAACTCATAATGTCTCTAAACAAACATCAAAATATACCTAGAGAATTACAGAACTGTCAATTCATTCCTTATTAATCCTACCTTTCTTTCATTTTTGAAAGTTATGCTGTAACATTCACTAAGCTAATTTCTGACCGGTCTAAACGAGTGTGAAAAAAAAGTATTGATGTGATAGCTGCATTTATAGTGGATAATAAGTATCCAATAGCATAGACATTTAGAGGTTAGGTTTGCAAACCATATCCTTTACTGCAAAACCATTAATAAACCTTAAAAGCTAATATATGTGCTGTGCTTATTTATAATTATATTTTTTTTCTGCTGCACAAGTTTACTTACAGTAGATAAAGGCAACACACAACAAGCTTTAACAACCTAGTGTTGTGTCATATATATATACACAGTATACACACTGCAATGGTATGCAAACAGAAGCCTTATTTCTACATCTGGGAAGGATCTAAAAGTGACCAAGAATTTAACATACCCAGCACCATCCAAACAAGGAAACGGATCCATGTGCCTCTGTCCAGCTGCATCATGAGATACACATTGACAAACATGCTCAGAACAGGAAGAAAGGGCAGCAAGGGAACCTGGAGATGTGAAAAAGAAATTACAGAGTTTCCAAGATAGATAAAAAGTCACTATTTATTTATCAGCTATCTTTATTGCAAATTTTCATGGGGATTATTGTCCATTGATATGGACACATGTCTTTAGACTGTGGAACAAAGCCAGAGAACACAAAGAAAACCAACATAGACACAGAGCAGGCCTTATGCTGGAGCAGAAAACCAGGACTTTCTAATTCAGCTAATGTCCTGTAAATCTTTCAAAATCTAGTCTAGAAGGTGTTTATGCCTTGACACCTGGATGTATGCCAAAAAAGTCAGTCTCAGTTTATTACCTGCTTTCCCTGTCACTTTAAGGTATTGTGTTCACACAAAATGCTTTATCCGAGTAATAAGTTGTGGCACAAAGCTTGTTACTCAAAGTCAACCTTAAAACTGAAATCTAGTAAAAGAATAAAACTAGAAAATATGTAACACTAGTGGGTTTGGATAGCATTAATAAATCTCCAGACTATATGCTGGACTAGGAATTAGTTATTGGGGTGATGTAAGATGTTCATTGGCAGGTACAATTGCCATGGTTGTTCCTTCAATGATCAGAACAAGATATAGTCTGCTACACTTGTTCTTAGTATTATTTGTGTATCACACAGCCGTATAATGATACAACAAACTCATCTTTCCACACAAAATTCCCAAACTTGGTGTAATAAAGATGATTTTCAAACATCAACGGAAATCCAGCTCTGTATTTCACACTACAGATACAGATAATGCTCTGTTACAGTAGTGATAAGGAAATTATTTAGTAAGCATAATTCATTAAAATCCATAAAATACTTGGAATGAGGCACACACTGTCCTTTCAGAATTCCTGTATAAAGATAACATTGTGAGAAAAAATGTGTTTGTTCCAAGCCTCAAAGTAAAACATTCACAACTAGAACATCTTTAATGTATACCATTTTTTTTCTTTTAAAGAAGTAAAACTGAGGTCCTTACAGTACCTTAAAGGAGAGCTTTGTCTTGCTCTCCGGTTGTCTCCAAATGATGATGGTGATGACGACGCTCATAATTAAGAAAATGGTAAGAAGTGCCACAGACCATGATTTTGTGCCACCTTGGACAGCAATGATGCAGAAAATGAAGACAAGCAACCCTGGAAAGTAAATAAAAGAACAGAGAATCAACAACAATAACTATGTTACAACTTGAAGACTCCCAGTAGGCTTCAGACATAGGTAGGGTTTAGTTGTCTCTCCAAAATAGCAAACTGTTGCAAACTGTCAAACAAACACTCCTACATTTTAAAATTTTTGTGCTTTGTGCACCTGGTTATCTAATGCAGATTTTAAAATGTTTGCTGGGTGAGATCACACACTCTGACTGGACTGGAGTGAAAAAAAACAACTTACAATTATGCAATTATGATTTTACAGGTGTGTCTGCAGTATTCAAAGTGTAATAAAATTAAAAACAAAGACTGAATACAGAAGACAACCTACCATTCATGGATTTGGATCAAGCTCACACAAAATATTCTAAATAGAAACGTTATTTTCAGAGCTTTGAAAAAGCAGTTCAGAACTATCTTGGAACATATGAGCAAAGTGGACAAAGCAAAAAAAACTAAATTGGAAGGAAATTGCACAGTGCATTGAGGGCTTAAGATACGTTGTAGTTGAAAACAATGCATGCGTATGTGCATTCCTGAGGCTTACCAAGCATGCTGGCACAGATGTTCACAATCAAACCAGACATGCTGCTTGGATCAGAGTTCTCTGGGAAGAGCATCCTCTTCATACTGAACTCCTCCATACCATCTGGTAGTATCCCTGCCTGGGATTCGCTGTTGCTCACCGACTCTGTCATTTCGCTCTCATCTAGGGTGCTTGCCATTTGGTAGACAAGACTGGGCTGTTCAGGTTGGTATCTGGATCAGAAACATGCATTCATATCCTTCAGCATTGAAGTCTTCACCAATTATTGTTGTGCATAACTACAATAGTTCAAGTATCCATCCATCTAATTTCTAACCGCTTTATCCAATACATGGTTGCAGGAGAGCTGGAGCCTATCCCGGCAAGCAACAGCCACAGATACAAGTGCATCACAGGTCATACAAAGATACAAACACATTTACAACAATTTTCCCAGAAGCGAAAAAAACCTACCAGTACAGTATGTCTTTGGACTGTGGGAGGAAACCCACTGATGCACCCAGAGGAACCCTTTGCAAACATGGTAGAACATACAGTACAAACGTCAAGCATATGGCACCCCGGCCCAGAATGGAATCCAGGACCCCAGCCCTGGGGGGCAACAATGCTAACCACTGTGCCCTTCCCCCTAATTCAAATGTCTGTGCAAAAATTCTAAAAAAGGTTTTATCATCAGTTCTTGCAGAAGCTAATTTCAAGGAGGGTTTCTGACAAAATGTAATTGTAGAAAGTAATAGAGTATGTGTTACTTTATTTAATAAGAACCAGTCTTGGAAGATGGAACTATCAACACACTCTAGCCAAAATTATTATAATTATAATAATAATAATTGCTTACAGATTGGAGAGGCTAATGCTGACAAGTGACAATGAGGATGAGGTGATGAGCTTGTCCTTCACTGTATGAGTTACTACAGGCAAAGTATCTTTAGGCTACAGCTACCGATGACAGCTGTGCAGGTGAGGAACAGTCGGCTTGGGTCGCGTTACAAACCTGAGGACTAGAACGCAGGCAGCCACCAAGGTGTACGCAAGCAGGGTGCCGATAGACATGAGGTCCACCAGGTCTTTCAGGTCAAAGAGGAAGGCCATTATAGCTGGAACATGAAGGAAGAAAGATTAAATACAAAAATACAGCAAACAAATGTCATTCCTTTCACCTTTCCAATTGTGGCTGTCTTTGATAGATGCATGTGGAATTCTCTTAAGAATTATGTCACAGGGAAAAAAACGCAAAAATCACATGATACATCCTGTGAACAATTATGTCACAACCCCAAGTGTTGATATTTGCATACAACAGGTAGCCTTCAACTATATCGATAACTCACATGTAAAATATTTGTAGTAAAGGAAAAACACTACCAAAAGATAAAGAATATTTGGACATTTTCATATTTTTTCACTTTCCACTTTTCTTTCTCAAAAGTGGAAAACTGAAAGAAAAAATACAAGGCTTCTTGTAACAAGTAAATATTGTTTTCTATGTATATATTTTTTACTCTGTAATGTCAAACCTGCGGCATGACATGTATGTCCTCAGGTACATGTATGTGTAAGTTTTTACCCAGAGCTCTGGCTTCCTTGCACCTTCCAAAGATATAATGGCTAGTTTCACTGATAAAGTGTGTGTGTGTGTGTGTCCTCTGATAGACTGGCATCATATTTATATTCCAGTCTCTCATCCTGTTTTTCTAAGAATATAGGGTTACTGCAACCCTTCCTAGGACTAAGCACCTTTAAAATAACTGATGGATGAGTGCATTTTCAGATTTTGATATTTTACATGAGAGTTCTTAGATTAGCTAAAACGTAACAACTTTAATGCACAGAACATACACATTCAACTTTCTAAAAATATATATTAGTGTAACCTTGATGAAAATAACTTTCCATGCGATTACAAGTGAAAATATATTGGTGCATTAGTGTAAAATAAAGTTCTCTATTTTATGTTAATTTAACCAATATACTATAAATCAATATTCATATTGATTCTTTTACTCAATCAACAGAAATGTGTAAAGTCATTTTCAACACTAGCTATTTAATGACATGTTCAGTTCAATCTCCTATTGTGTAGCTGTTAAAGAGATGTAACAAAAGATTGAGCAAGTGTACAAAACTAAAAGGCTGTGAATGCTCAAGTTCTTAATTTTTAAACAATCGGCATCACAGGTAAGAAGAAGCTTACCTAAAGTTGAAATAATAGACAGTTTCTGCAGAGAGTTCTTAGTTTGTCAAATATCCCGTTAAAAATAAAAATAATTGCTCCAATTGCTGCTCCACTGCTTCCACTACCAAAAAATGCTTCCTTCTCTTTTCTACACATCCCATTTTGCCAGTGAACTCTGTTAGGAATATGAATGCCTTGTCACCTTCACTGCCTGGGCTCTTTTTGATGCTTTTATTTCAGAGACTATCAGTGATATTAATAACTTAACAATGAAGTTGATTTTGGGAAACCAGTGACAACTCTTGCAAGTGAGTCCCTCTCTAACCAACCCAAGGGGCATATCTTGTGAAGAGTGTACTTCAGTTGCTACCGGTCATCTCTCCCAACACTCTAGGAAACATGCCTGAAGACTGAGCATCTAAGGCCAACAGCAGAATGGGACGTGTAAGTAAACAAGGAAACATCTGTTTGGGTGGGTACCATCAAACAGCATTAACAGGACGGCAGCGTAGACTGTGATAACACCACACTGATGATGTTCTTGGATCAGCCAGGAGCAAATCCTGTATATCAAGATGTTTCTTTCATCCAGTCCTTCCCATATTAATCCAACTCCTTCCAAGAGATCTCACACACAGAGCTTAGGCTGTGCAGTCTGTTAATATGTGAATCTGAGGGGCAGCCCAAGCTTTATCGCTCACACTGGAGCTTACCGGACATGACCCCTGCCATCAAGGTGGAGACGATGGGGGTTTTCCTCTTGCTCACTCGGGCCAGAAATGAGAACAGCAGCCCATCTCTGGCCATTGCAAAGATAATCCGTGGCAGGGGAAACATGGAACCCAAGAGACTAGAATGGGGTGGGAGGGGGTAGGTGGTGGTAAAGAAGTTTTAAATAAACAACATACAGACCGGAGGAGACCAGGTTACTACGTGGATTCAGCTGCAAACTGTTCTGAATGCACACTGGTGCTGATGGAGGTGAAGGGTATGGAATAAGTAAATGTGCACACTGTGAAAATGGACTGTACCACTCAGAAATATAAAACAACCTCTTTCTAAAGAACATCAAAACGTTTCTTTCACCAGGCTCAGATTTTTATAAGTTCTCCTTTTAAAACCAGCTGCAAATAACAAGGGGATTTTAGAAGAAAACAAAAACAAAGCAGGAATTCTTGATTAAAAAAAAAACTAAAAGGAAGTGGACAAGATTTTCTGCAATTTGTTTTTTGGTTCAAGGTTATTTTCTTTAATAATACTACATCTGCATGTGATGTTACAATTGTTTAGGTTACATTAACAGGAAATGCTCTTTTCATTGTTCACATCCTGTCTAGTTCCTAAAATCTTGAGCCCAGTGCACTCCCTTTCAAGATGTCCGATTCCATTCAGTGAGTAAAGACACATTGAGCAAGATGGGCCAAAAGGCCTCCTCTCATTCATAGCCTTTTTTATATTCTTATGACAGAATATTAAGAGTTGGCATGTGACTTGCTCTGTACAATCAAGGTCTGTATGACTGGTAGTGCCCAAATGACTGACAGCTTATGCCTACAATTACTGCACACCACATTACTTATCTTTCTTACATTATGGCCTGTGGATTGCTGAATGTTTGTCTGTTGCATTAGGAACTGGCTATCTCTAAGTGAGCAGTAAAATTGTATGCCTGCTGATGGTAAATAGTTCCAGCAGTAAAGGTGCATTTTGAACAGGTGCGGTTGAAAGCACGTATATTCCTGTAATCACAGTGTTAGTGGTTATTCTTTCAGCCTCACCTGCAATAACCCCTGAAGTTAATGTAGCAGTTACGGGGGTTTTGGTTCTTTGGCTGATTTTTGCCAAAAATTTGAAGAGCAGCCCATCATCGGCCATGGCCCAGATCACTCGGGGCATTGGAAACATGGCGCCAAGCAAGCTAATGAGAGAAAGAGAACAGGCCATGCCATCTGAGTTAGTGAAGGTCAGTTCCACGTAATGCAGCGAACCTACTATCACTTCAACAGAATAATAATCAAAACTCCTGTTTTGTGAACAACATTTTATGCAAAATGAAAGATTAACATATAGGGCTGACAGATATTTAAGCAAGAGGGGACCTTGAGATTGTTACGATGTCTATGAAGTCTTTACCAAAGTGTTTGACTTAAGTCAGCCTTGATTTTCAGTTTTGTGAAGAATATTTCTGACACCAGAAAAAAAAAACTTTTGGACATGAAACACAACATTGTTTTTCCCTTTTGATTAATGGACTGAGCTCAGATTTGCTTTCAGCGCTGTCTGCCAATTCTGATCCTATAAACCCCCTGGAGTGTGGGTATTCAAAAAGTAGCACAAAGAAACAACTAAAATAGTAATGACAGCTTAGTAGAAAAAGATTAACAAATTCAAAAATAAACACCTCCTGATATTGCTTTAAAACATACTTAACCATCACAGGTCACTTGCATTAAATCCTTTTTCAACAACTAAATAACAGGAATTTCTATCCGGAGAATATACTGTACAGTAATTTCCTGAATACCTCTGATCATATTTGATGTATATATTCTTGTACTTAGCATAGCAGGAATGTCATGATACTCCAAATTATTATGTTATGGCCATAGATAAATATAATATAAACTAAATACTTTTATATTAACAGTGGGTAAAGATCCAATTTTGGGGATGAATATACTTGTACAAGTTAAAGTTTAGCTGTGCTGGGGCCCAAGTTTAATTCTGGACCTGGGATGCTATCTGCATGGGGTTTGTATGTTCTCCCCATGTTCAGGTGGGTTTTTGGCTGGTGCTTTTCTTTCCTCCCTCCGTCCAAAAACATACTGGACGGTTAAATGCCTTCTGGGAAAATTGGCCCATGAGTGTAAGCATGTATGTATCCGTGTTTGCCCTGTGATGAACCAGTGTCCTGTCCAGGGTGTTTCTCCACTGGGTGGCCACTGCTTTCGAGAATTGAAGAAAGAGGTTTTCAAAATGTATAGATGGTAGTTAAGTGTACAAAAAATTATACATCAGCAAAACCCTGTACATACACATTTGATGAATGTATTAAGAAATCATTTTTTTAAGAATTTACTTATTTTTAATGTACTGTAGGTTATCCTATCCTGGACAATTTATGGATTTATGGGTATATGATAGAAGTCAAAGACAACGTCTTGAGTTAACAAAATCAAGATGTGATTTTATACTCTTAAATTTTAATTTAAAGAATAAAAATCTACAGAACACAGTACTTATTACATTTTTGGATTTGTATGGTTGGATGTTACAAGTGCAACATGTGGGGAACTGATATATTCAAACGCAGACACAGCATAATAGTACAATCTACAAATAAGATGAATATTGTTATAATGAAGATTAGCCCTGCATGTCAATGCAGACGAAACCCAATGGATAATGGTAGAGGTGGTACATTGAGTCCCACCAGCAACACCAAAGACTCTCTGAAATGACATTATTACTGCTATTACAAAGCTGGACAAGGTACTAATTATAGCATTTTAACAAATGACAGGAGATTAAAATCTCTCTTTTACAGCTATAAAGCTGTTTCAATATACAGTATGTCTGCCTAGTATTTGGGAAACTGGGCCCATACAGAAACAAGGCAGGAGTTAGATAAAAACCCATGAAGCAGCCAGAAATGCCAACAGTCACCTGATGGTATTTTTTGTTTGATACAGTAGATATTTCTTATGTCTGCCAAAGGGAAAGCAGTCACCAAGCAGCAAAGCTTCAGCTTCTTTCAGATTCAGGAATGCTTAGTTATTCATGTAGAATCTTACACAGCTTAATCATCACCTGTGACATATTAAGAGTTGTGTGTAGAACAAACTGTACAGTTTTGATTACCAAATATTTGTAACTTAGTAACATAGTTACAGTTGTAAATGTTACCAACTATGTAATTATGGAAGTGAAGAACTCAGTGCAGAAAGCAGATTGGGTTTTCTTAACCTTCCATATTTACACAGAAAAGATGTCTTAAGGCACCAATTTTATAATTCTATTCCATATTCTAATTACCTAATGTAGAAAGCTTTTAGCTTTGGTTTAAAATGGTTTAAGGTTCCACATGTGTTCTAAAAAAGCAGGACAAAATTTCACAGCATAAATGCTTTAGTGCAATTAGGAAATTCAAAGCTTCATGCAAAGTCTTGCAGATCAACAATCAAAATAAAAATACTGCACAAATAAAGAAATCTGAAAGACTACAAAAAATATATATTAATTTCTATACAGAAATATCTGTGTACACATCACCTGAGGACATCTAGTACTGAGTTGCTACTGTATATATCAAGTGGTGTTTAAGGTATTCAATACTATCAACATATACTATTTCAATACTACTATAATCGAAGTGTCTGTTTTTAAAATATTATCCATCTTAAACCTAAATGAATACAGAAAAAAGCCCATTCCAGACACTTAAGAAAGCCGAGTGCCAAAGCATCTAAAATAACAGTGGTAACCAGTTAAATACATTCCCAAAGGATGGATTTAGAAATCCCAAAGGATGGATTTAGAAATACAGGCTTCGGAGCTATGACTTTATGACTAGGGACTTATTTTTAGAAGAGAACAGAGCTCAGATATCACACCAGCTCTTCCATTGAGCATTTATTTTTGTATTCACTAGTGGATATAAAGCAAAAATGCAATTTTATTATTCAGTCTTGGAACCCTAAAAACGTATATTACAGCATTTATACTGTTCATCATGCTCTGTCACAGAGTTTGATATGCCTTGATATTCTTTTTCAGAAAACCATTGGGACAAAACTCTCAAGACTGACCAGCTTACCTCGTTGACAGGGCGCACAAGGAGCCAACGGCTACCGCGTAGGTGGCGCCTTCCCACCCCACGTATTTGAAAGCGACAGGCAGGGGGCTGTTCTTGTCCAGCATGTAGTAGGGCATCATCAGGGTGAGGGCGGCAGAGACCCCGAAGTAAGCTACAAAGCAGATGAGCAGGGAAGCCACGATCCCGATGGGAATAGCTCTCTGAGGATTCTTCACTTCCTCCCCTGGAGAGCCCGCAGAGAAAAACACCAGGGTCAAAGGTCGAAAGCTCTCTTACCAATAGAGGCCACTGTACAACTCTAGCAAGGAGAATGAACAGCTGTACCAAGGTTTGGGCTCTGTATTAGAACTCAAACCAAATCCCTAGAATGAATGACGGCAATTAACTCCTTACCGACAAGGAACACACAGTTCAGTCTGTCAGTGAGGATGTTCACAATAATGAACTATTTGGATAATCTGTGCCTTGATGAACTATAATTTATTGTATTCCACCAACAAGTGGACAGACATAAAGCAACCAAATAAGTACAAAATGCACTGTATAAAGGTATAATTCCAAAGTTGTTGGTTTTTTTCCCCAGTGGTCATCAATTACAACATTTAATTAACTACAATTTTCACAGGAAATCTGGAGTGAGTGGGTTATGACAAGTTCATATTGAAACGAATTTCAATTCAGTCCACTACTTCTGTAGCTCCCTATAATCCTCCTAAAATCTTCCTTAAGCAAGCACTAAAGTTCTTATAGAAGTACCTTGAAGTAACTGTTAACATATAAAAGATCCCAAGCTAACATGCATTTCCTTTTTAATTTTTCCAACTTGATTCCCCAAATGTATACAGTGCCTTGTAAAAAATAGTCTCCACTTGCCAATAATACATTTTTATTGACTTTAAGAAACATGCTCTACACAAATTCTGTCAGCTGCAAATACAGTAGCTTTGAATACAAAATATGATCAAACTGAACATGGTATGACAACCTAAGGGGCAGGGTAATACAGTATTGCTCTACTACTAAGCTAAAAGAAATGGATCTAAGAAGAACCCTCTTGAAGGGTACATCCTACCCACCAAAGTCCCAGAGAACCTTGGGTCTTTGGAGCAGAGTGAGTGAATAAGGCAAACTGACAACTGAACAACACCTGCTTCTAATCTCTTTTCATTATATACATACTAGTCTAGATCTTTATACAGATTGGCAAGGCAAAGGGTGGCCAGGGCATACAGTGAGATTGAGTCGTTCCAAACATTGTTTAGAAGGTAGTTATTTTTTGGAAGAGAAATTTGAACTAGAATTTGTGAACCTGTACCTAGACTGTGAACAACTATTCTGGAGAAAATGAAAAGCCAGACAGGAAATGAACAAGGACGAATACAAAGTTCAACTTAAACATTCATTTGCACCAGAATGGATTTAAGGATGCTGTAGCAAATCAGAATCTAATTTTCTATATAACTCTAATTTAGATCTCCACGAAAAAGTGGAAACATTGCAGAGGGATGAATATTTTGGGCAAAGCACTGTAGATCTAAATCCTAAATAAATTCAAATGGATATATCACCTTTCCTGTTTGATGTTAATATTTAACAAGAAACAACAAGAGAGACTTGAATTTAGTTAACAAAACAAACCAGTACAAAACCTGTCCCATTGCTGTAGATACTCATATTAAATACTAAGCAGAATAATATAATGTTTTCATAAAATATATAACTTTCCACCCAGCCCTATGATTCAAACACTAGAAAGTCAATGGACTTGAATTTAGTGAACTGGACCTAGTTTCATTAGGGGTTGGCCTTGACTCTTGCAGCTGCCAAAGGAATATTAGGAGCTCTGTGTTCCTGCCAGCAAATAGCCTGTAGCAACGACAGCTTTCTTTGATTTACTGGAAGTCTAGAACATACAGAGTTCATTCTGTAAATGGCTCGGCCTAAGAAGCTATACTTAGGGAGGAGACATATTTCCTGTTCGCTGTCTAATGACAAAAAGCCAAAAAAAATCTTTCCTTCTAAGAACTCCAAAGCTAAGCACATCTATGCCTGGTCAGTGCTGTAATAAGAGATCTTGCTGTTGTAAGTGGTGTTGGGTGAGCAGGACCACTGTTCCCTCTGGACCAGAACGTTCTAACCACTGCACCTTAAATCAATTGATGAAGCAATTTCTCAAATCTTTGGTTGCTCTGCTGTGCAGTTGGACTGCTGGCGCATAACAGCTCTGCCAGTCACCTACAGTAGCAGGTGGCTGCTGTATTTCAGTAGTGGATTAGGTGGGTTCCAGACGAAATACCCAGTCATGTGTTTGACACCCATGCTTTGGTTTCCTTCAAGAAAAGGTTGCATGAGATCCTTGGATCAATAAGCTACTACCAGGTGGGACAAATGGCCCAAAATGGCCTCATCTCATTTGTAACCTTTCTTATGTTTCACATGGAAAGTGTCTTCAGATGAAAACTGTTGTTTAAGTCCTTATAAAGATATAATCATCTTTAAGGATGGCCGATGAGCATATTAGCTCTCCAATGAAGGTAGAAACTTGTCCTGTCAAGTTAAGTGAGATTATACAGCTCACCAGGGGACCTCTTCAACACAAAAGTACCCCATAAAATGACAACACAAAGATCACAAATGAAAGAAAGCCAGCCACCCCATATTGTTAATTCCAAAGACTATACAGTAATATTAGGAGTTCTACAGGAGTATATTCGAAGTTCTTATCCTGACCTAATAGCTTCCACTTCTCTGGATCCTGAGCCTGAAAGTTTCTTTCCAAATTTAAAGGCCTGAATCAAATACCTCTGAAGAGTAGTGCATTTAAAACTGATACAGCAGCCATTTTTTTAGACAAAGTGTTGTAAGAATCTGGAACAAGCTGCCCAGCAAAGAGTACTGGCTTTATTTTTTAAAAAAAAGCTGGATGAGACCCTCCAAACATACTATGTAGGCTAAATGCTCCCCTCTTATTTGTAACCTTTCCTATGGTCATGTGCTGTTATTTGGCACCTTTTCCTACCTGTGGTAGCAATGCAATCAAAGCCCACGAAGGCATAAAAACAGGTTGCAGCTCCTGAAAGAACACCAGTGAAGCCAAAGGGCATGAACCCTCCATCACCATAGATCCACTGTGATGCTGTCCTCTCTGAAACACTACCAAACAGAAAACATCAGTGTTTGGTATTATTCATATAATGGTCTACAATAGGCAACTTTCATCCTTTTCCATTGCAATAGCCTAAGTTCTAAGAACTTTTAGGGTTAGGACTTTCCATTACAGAATGGCCTAATCATAGACTGCAATGTCCAAATTAAAAAAGAATTTAATTTCCTGTAGTGGTTTCTGTTTTGTCTTTATTTTTGTTATGCCCAAATGCATCTAAAATCAAGTGTTGGAAAAGCTTCTCACACCTAAAAGCTAAGTACTGTCAAGATGAACTAAGATAAGAAGTACAGTCCTCTGAAGTGCAATGAAAGTAAGGTATTTAACCTGTCCAGCAGTTCCATGCACTACTGTGTAAAGTCTTAGACACTTCGTATTTTTAATAAGTTCAAATTGTTCTAATAGATATAATATAATACATTAATATATACATTATATATATATTTACATACATATCTATATTTACATTCATATGTGTGATACAATTTTTCTGTGTACTGTTCTGTTCTAGTTTGTTCTTTGTGTGTCCGACTGTGAGTAACTCTTGTATTGTATTGTATGTATTGTACTATTATTATATAATTCGTTACACTGTGGCTGTGTTGTGTGTGTTAAGCTGCTGTTGCACTGCAATTTCCCTCACGGGATCAATAAAGTATCTATCTATCTAATAGTAGAAAATACAAGTGGGGGCTCTGCAGAAATTGTTGCCGTTTCCAAAATACATATAGTGTAATTCCTAATATTGTCAAGATGTCTGTGACTTTTGCACAGCCCTGCATTTACTATACCTACAGTACATTTCTTCACATTAAGTCCTGGTGAACTGTACTTTTTAAGAGTTCTTATCAACAGGAAACCTGCTCCATAACACACCAAACACAAAATACGAAATTAAACAAAAAAACAAATCAGATTACAGATACCTTTTGAGAAAATGCGTTCTGCAAAATTCTTTGTGTCTTTTGGTCTTGAAAATTTCTGGATTTACAAAAAATCATAGTAATCATTTAATTCCTGGCTTCCTGAGCTAGAATCCAACCACCTATTGCATAGGAGTTAAATCATTTTAAAACCTAATGCTCCTTGAGTTCTAGTGGATTGCACGGGACAACTAAGGAGTATAATAAGGCATGATCTGTCACCCATTTCTGAGTAACATTAGATAGTCAATAAACCATGGTCTTTTTTCAGGTAGGTGGTCTATGGTCCTGTACAGAGAAAGAGTGACAGAAGAGCTAGTTCAATGGTGGTATGCTGCCATTAAAATAAAACATACTTGTAAGTTGAGGAGTTGGTGAGGTTTGTCATGTCCTCCTGCGTGAGGCGCCAGTTTTTCAGGGTGCCCTTCACCAGCCCCGATACCACCACAAACATCAGCACCAGGATATTGATGCAGGTGAACACCTTATTCACCATGGCTGATTCCTTCACGCCAAAGGCCAGCAGCCCTGGAAGAAACAACGTTGCCTGCTGTTAGCCTAGACAAGGCTGCAACAGTACAAGAACAAAGTGACAAAAGACAATCAGAATAAAACCAATCTCCTGTCTTAGATGCTTAAATGGACAAATTTATGATTGAATAGCAAAGTGCTGATTTTGTGCTTAAAAATTCAAATTACAGTATGTAGTTTTTTGTTGTTTTGTTTTTTCAAAATTGTATTCCTGTTCCAAGATGGGTTGAATGGAGCTGCTAGAAAAGAAAATATTTTTTGTCCTCAATTCAGAGGAAAACAAAAATAAATTAAGATTACATTGATTTTGGATCGTTGACTGGATACGCCATCTCCTGGCCCCCTAAGGCATTACATGAGAAGAAGTGCATTGTTCCTTCACTGGACAACATACCTGTTAAAATCAGGATGATCAAAACTGCAAATATATCGGGATACTCAGCCAATACCCCAGGGGCCTTTATTGACATGTACGCTTGGCAGAACTCCTCAATGTGCTTGCCAATCAGCTCATCAAATGTGGCACTCCAGGCTCGAGCTACACTTGATGTTCCTGTGAAAAGTAACATGAAATCTGTAACAACAATTTCAGCCTCATTTTTCCAGTTTCATTTCTGTTTTGTAACTTGAGATTTTCCAGGTTATTTTTAAATTACAGGCAGTCCATGAACCATCAAATCAATATATATTTTGTACCTACTTAAATTAAGGCTATCCCTTACCAAAGAAACAGTTGAGACCAAGATTACCCTGAAATAAAATTATGACATTTATGATTTTTTAAATATGGTTCTCTTCAGTAACATGAAAGTTGTAGACCAATGTCCCTAATTATGTAAGGCTAATGAAAATATCATTTGTGAATTAGGACACAAAAAAAGAACATCCATTCATTCATTCCCGACTGTATTGGTTAATCCAGGGTTGCAGGAGAGCCGGAGTCTATCCAGACAAGCAAAAGGAGCAAGGTAGGATACACCGTAGATGGGACACCAGTCCAACTCATGGCACACAGAAACAAATACACACTCACACCAGGCCAGTGTTCTCAGAAACCAACTAACCCACCAGTATGTCTTTGGATTGTGAGAGGAAACCAAAGGAGGCAGAAATCTATGTGAAGACTGGTAGAACATACAAACTTCATGCAGATAGTGCCACAGGAAGTGAACCCAGGCCCCAGCATTATGAAGCAGCAATGCTAACTACTATGCCATTATGCTACCCCCGAACAAACAATTAAAGCAAACTAAAGCAAGTATTTTTACTTTGTTGTTTAGGGACCCTGTATTATTAGGAATTAAAGCAAAATCTCAGTATGAATTATGATATTGTGAGATAACAGAACATGGAGAATGCATCTGACCATTAAATATTTCGACAACCACATCAATATGAAAACAACAAGAATAGTCCAGTTTGCCAATTTTGCCAAGAATGAAAACAAGTTCAAGAAATAATCAAAAAGGAATTAAATAATGTCCCTTGATAGTGTTCAGCCTCTGGGCTGAAAAGTGTTGCTTATAATACTAAAGGGATAGTGTAGTCATATTGTCAATGAGCTTGTAATGTGTGGCCTTTTTTTCAAAAATGAGCATACTTGAATTAGGAATGCAACTGCCAACATCATGTGCCAAAGAGGTTCAGATGATGTCATTTTGCCTAGCTGACAATATGAAGACAGCTGTAGATTAAGCTCAGTTGCCTTTAATTTTGTATTGAGGCAAGCTTTGAAGTATTGGGAGTTACAAGAAGTAAGTGTGAATAGGAAGCTAATTGCAGTATTTACAGCATTTAATACCAATTGTAGTGTAGGTGGATCATTTGCTTTGTGGAGTATGAGTCTTTTTTCCCCACAGTGTAACTGCGCACCACGGTGCTGCCAAAGACATGGAACCAAGAAGATAGCATAGGGCTGTTACTTTGATTCATCATTTGAATTAAAAAAGACAACATTTCATTAAATGTATACACCTTAGGTAACTATAGGCTTGTGTAGGCAGGACAGATTAATCTGCCTTATTCGAGAGCACAGCATCACCTGTCTTTAGAATCCAACCAAATATTGTCTGGAATACTGTACTTTGCCAGGTATTTAAACTACCATTTAAATGAAACTAGGCATGAACGTGGAAAGAGCCAAAAATGCCTGATTTTGTTTTTCCGTGAAAATACTAGCAGAATAAAGTCAAAAGGTTGTAAAAGGACCTCTGGGGACTTCCACAGACACTTTTACAAAACCCTGTCAAACTATATGCTCTCTACATGTTTCACTGGGCTTCCTTTGGGTGCCCTTGGGAAAACTGGCCCAGGTGTGAATGTGTGTGCTTGTGTCTGTGTCCCCCCTACTATGGACTGACATCTTCTCCAGGGTGTCCTGCCTGCTGCTTGCCAGGTTAGTCTGACTCCCCTGCAACCCTATATTGGATAAAGCAGTTAGAAAATTGGTGGATATTTAACAAGTCACTTACTCACTATGAAAAATTTGGTCTCTGCAGAATTCCCCAGGAAGTTCAAATATGCATTTCAATACCCATTATGTCTTTTGTTTTTGCCTTTTTTTTTTACCTAAAAGCTGAATACAGTATGCAGTATACTGTCCCACCTGGGATTTGAATCTTCAACCTTCCAGTTACGAGTCCACTAAGCTACACCGTTGCCAACTTATTATTGTACGCTCTACAATACGTTTGCAGGAAAAGAAAGTAAACCAAAAGGGAAATTAAGCACTGTGAGCTTATTAAATTACAAATTAAACTAATTAGACGAGAAAAGCAATGGAGCAAAAACAACAGAGCTGGGCTGAAACTTGTGAAATGTAGTCATGAGTTTTGGTTTTCATTAACACATGGGCAGGTGCATACCGACCACAGTGTAAACATGGAAAAAGAGTGAAAAACGAAACAAAACCCAGCGAAAAAAGACTGACTTTTCAAAACTGGTAAGTTTACTCTTTATGTTTCCTAAATGTAAAAACAAAAGAGAGTAGTCTTATTACATGAGCTCCTGTTGCAAAAGCAGGCTGCGATTCAGAGTCACCGATTTACATCTTGTTGTATGTATAATTACCATTGTATTATCACGCTCATTTAAATGTTCCAGCCTAATTACATATTGAAACTAGGGCTCAGTTTCTATTTAAGTTAACCAAAATATTGTTTTACAAACTCTGAAGGTCATACACAAGAAATAAATGACAAATTTGATTTTAGAGCAGGTGGAAGAAAGACAGATGGTGGGAAAGTATGTGTGTGGGGGGGGAGGGGTTGTGACTCACCTATCACGTATGATAGGATGAGATTCCAGCCTGTGATGAAAGCCCAGAGCTCTCCCACAGTCACGTAACTGTACAGGTAAGCGGATCCAGTCTTCGGCACGCGGGCCCCAAACTCGGCGTAGCACAGCCCCGCTAGCACAGAAGCCAGCGCGGCAATCAGGAAGGACAGCACGATAGCCGGGCCGGCGTTGTCTCTAGCTACAGCCCCGGCCAGCACGTACACCCCGGCTCCCAGCGTACTGCCCACCCCCAGCGCAATCAGGTCAAAGGTGTCGAGGCAGCGCGAGAGCCGGGACTCCTCGGAGTTGCAGTCCACCACCTTCACCCGCAGAAGCTGCTTCCCGAAACCCAGGAGCATCTTGCAGGCCATGGTTGCTGCAGTCAAGTGGGGCTGCGTGGGCAGGCGGGCAGAGCTGTACCAAGAGGGGGAAAAAAAAAAAAAGAAGAGGGACAGACATCACTCACCCCTCCCAAAAGAAGGTACTGAAGTAGGAGGACTAAATTCCCCCCAGCTTGTTTTAAACCGCATACATACAGTAGCTCCAATATCAAAATCCTAAAAAAAGTTCAAATACAAAAAGAGAGAACACAGGGTTATCCCAGTTGTGATACACAGAGTGACTTCAACTGGGTCCATATTGTCTAATATGGACATATTTTTCATGTCATATCCATCAATCACAAAAACATCACATTTCAACAAGGTAAGTGTTCCGGTATTTTCTCATGACCCTGACCAGTTTAGATATGAGCATTTGGATATGTATTCAGAAATGACAATATAATGCATTCCAGGATGAGCTGGGTGAAGAAGTCGTGTGTTTGAAGCTATGCTATTTAACTAGAATAAAATTTCACTTCACGTGCTTTACCCATTTTACATCACTGTACCTTCATGCTAAATGGTTATTTGATCATTTGGATGGGATTAACAATTAACATTTAAAAGTAACAAAATTTATCAGAAGTCAAGCTCTTTAAAATTGACTATCAAACAAAATTTCACCTCATTCAAAAAAAAACATTAACATCTGATAAGAATAAAGGAAAGAACAGAGCGTGTTAAGAATTCCTTAGTTCCTAAATCACTCAGTTTAATTTTGTCCCTAACTGGACTGCTTAATCAATGTAAACAAATGTAGCTGCTGTTGAATTTCTGGTTTAATTACCAGCACAATCACCCATGTTAATCCGCTAGAAGAACGTACATCCCAGTAGAACCAGTAATCATTTATTTTACCTCACATTTCCTCTGGTTCAGGGAAATGTTTCCTAGCCTACATTTTAGAAGATAAGCAAACAGAACTAAAACCAAATCATATACTGTAGGAAAAATATTGCAAAACACATATTATACACAGTTTGATACATGCTGTTCCTTTAGATAGTTGAATAAATATCCTTGCAGCTGTACTATCTGAATATACAAGACAATTTAACAACCCATGTAAATCTGAAACATTCAAAACAATGAAATCACTAATTTTAATCTAATCTAATCATCTAATTTCTTCTAATTTTAAACTTACAATTCACAAAACAAAGCAGCTGTTTTTAAGACAGCCCGTAGAACAGAACATCCAGTTCCCTAAAATAATCATTCCAGTAGTTAACATTGCTGCCTCCCAGCACTGGGCTCCAGGGTTCAATTCTAGACCTTATCTGCATGGAGTTTGTTCTCCCCATGTTTGCATGGGTTTCCTCCAAAAGACATACTGTTAGGTAAACTGGCTTCTGGGAAAAGTGGCCCAAGGTGTGAGTACGCACTGGGATCTATCTGTCCTACAATGGACTGGTGTCCTGCCCAGGGTGTAGCCTGCCTGTTTCTTCTCAGGATAGGCTCCAGCTCCCTCGTGACCCTGAACTGGAAGAAATTATTAGAAAATGGATGGATGAATAGTGCTCTGCATCCTGGACACCTCTTAATAAAGAGAACAGGCAGGGTTCTGCCTTGAAACAGTCTGGGACATCTGCAGGTCACTGCCAGCATATTTTGGGAAAGTAATAATTAAGGTGGTCGCAGCTAAACCGGCTCCTAAATTTAACTTCAACCAGCCTATATGGTGGATGAAGTGGACTTATTTCAGACATGTAATTTAGTCATGTTACCGGGAGCGGCCACAAACTGAGACATCGCACTGATTATATTTCATTAATGAAGCACATTTTTGTGTTGGAATCTTGGAAGAACAAGCTCAGTTTTATATTAGTAATCTGGCAGCTTGAATTTAAAAGTGCTGTGTTCCCATTTATATTTTATATTAAAGGATGTAATTCCTTTATGGAAGTCCTTTTGCTGTTAATTATTTTAAAAGCTGAGGCAAATGGCGGAGAAAGAAAAAAGTATGTGAAAAATATAATACAGCCCATGTTCTACAAACCATACAGGAAAATCTTTTCCCACATATCTGTAGAAAAGAGCTCTCTTAGAAAAGAGAAGTACACTAAAAGCACTTAAGTCAGATTTGTAACTATTTGGCGTCCATGCACTAACGTCTCTGTGACTAGACCATGACACTTTCTTTGCAAGAATGGAGATTCCTGTAATGACACTGTATAAAACAATTTGTCATACAAATCTAGCAATCATAACTCTACCACAAGTTATTTATTAATATAATCAAGGAGAATTCTAATTTCCTGTGTAATTTTAAGGAGACACAATAGGCAGTCCTTCCTTAACTGTTGTCTGGATCATTAGTTTTTCATTCAATGTGTTCTTTGCATTTGGGGATCGAGACTTAGATCATTTGTTGCAATTTGGGCCTATTTTCTAACTTGGTCTTACATACTCATAGCTTTATTTGGTCTGTTGATGATTTTCTTAAGTTCAAGAAACAGTGTTTATTTCATTACATCTTTCTGTTTTAGTTTATTTGCCTTTTGGCAACTGTTTTTTCCACATCTAAGCTGCCTCTGATGCTCACCTGTGGGTGGATCTGTGGTATCCCCTGCATGCCACAAGTCTCCAGCCTTGCTTGCCTGCAACCCGGGGTCTTGGTCTCTTCCTGCCTTATAGCTCCTTAGTCTTACAGCTCACAAGCTACTCTGAGGCCATGTCTGTACTCAGACCTTGGCTTGGCTGTCTGTCCACCTGGCCTGGCCAGTCCCGTAGCTGACTGTTCAGCCAGCTTGCCAGACAGCTACAGTAAGTTTGTCTGGCTTCATTATGTCAGTGTCAGGATTCACTTGATCTGCAGTGGCTTGTTTGCCTGTGTCTGCTATACAGTAGCAGTGCCTGCATCCCTATGAAACAAACTTCTAACCAGATGGATACTATACATCACCAAATTCTTTACATTTTCCAGTTTTTAGTCATGTAGTGTGTGGAATCCTAGAATGTTTGGTGGATTGAGTTACAGATTCATTTTTGTTTTAAAATATGACAACTTTAAACCACTTTAAGCCACAGTACTAAAACTGCCAAAACATTTTGGTTCTATACGATCTACAGAAATAACCACTCTATTTTTAGTTTGGAATGCTGTATGGGGTATTGCTGAGATTATGAGCTAAATTAAAAGAATGTTTGCATTTTTATGACTAGTTATTGGCGGCACCATGGTGCAGTGTTTAGCATTACTGCTTCGGAGTGCTGGGGCTCTGGGATCAATTCCTGACCAGGAGTGCTCTCTGCATGGAGTTTGTGCTGTATGTTCTCTCTTTATTCACATGTGTTTTCTCCAGGTGCACCGGTTTCCTCTCACTGTCCAAACACATACTGGTAAGTTAATTGGCTTTTGGGGAAAATTGGCCCATGATGTGAGTGTATGCGTAACTCTATCCGTCTGCTCTGTTATGGACTGGCATCCCATCCAGGATGCACCCTGCCTTGCATCCGAAGGCATGCGGGAATAGATTCCAGCTCCCCCCGCAACATTGAATTGGAAGAAGCAGTTAGAAAATGGATGGACAACTTGTTATTAATTTGTCCCTAGTCCATTATCCACAGTTATGCCGCAGTGATTTGATCTAGAAACACTACCTTTTCAAAACCGACCTTCTCAAGATCTCAAATTGTTGTGATTTAAACAGATTATGTGCAGCTATTACATGTGATTTCACTCTGTGAATAACACATAATTATATTCCTAGACTATGGTCAATACACATATATTTATCTCTATATAAACTGCCTAGTTTAGAGAAATTAAAATGAAGCAATTTTTTCTGCTACCAAATTGTAATGCTGAGGCAATGTGGTGTGGTTCTCCTCATCAAATGAGAACCCTGGACTGGTTTAGTAGTCATTGATCGGATTAAATTTAACTGTCGGAGAGCATGAATCTAGGTATAGCTTTCAACCCAAATTTAATCACACATTCAAAAGATCACTTTTTCCCCATCAAGGAATAAAAGGCCACATGTGCTATATGGTTTCAATGTTTGATCTCGAGAAGATGGTGCATTGTTCCTCTGGGAGCTTTTAGTGTAATGGTTTCATTGCCAGTACCTCAACAGCAACCTGTTCACAGGTAACAGAAATCTGTTATCCAAGCTGTAGCTGTCTGTACATTAAGAACCTACAGTGGTTCTGGCTTCTCTGCTTCAGCTCTCTGTTAAGGGAATAATTGATTTTAAAATTTAACCTACAACCTATTAAAGGTCTAACTCCCAGCTCTATTACTGCACATATTCTACATTCTGCAATTCCCGGAATTATCGACACTGAAACTTGTCATTATGATCTAGATTATCTCAAAAGCATATACAAGAAGTAAAGTTTTTTCTATGAGTACACAATTCACAGCCCAGCAGGAAATCATTAAGCGTGACTAGTAACAAACTTGAATACATGTCCAGGATTATCCATCTTACTGTAAGACACATTCCATTTTGTTGCCAAATTTGAATGATGGTATAAACACCAATTTTTTTCAGCAGAAATTTACAACAATTCTCCTAAATCACACGAGAAACTCAATGCAAAAGCAAAGATAAATATAGTCCCTGATATGCCACAGCAATTTAATAACCTGAAAAAAAAACTTCAGCAATCTTCAAATCTTTATAATTTCAACAGGACACACAATGGACATCTGAGTCAAATCTTTGCACAAGTCCACTCCCAAGAAAAACAAACTTCATAGCTACAAATATGCAGACTAGGGTTAATCTCATAAAATATGTGAAAGTTAGATTTTCAAAGAAAATATGGGAACTGCATATTTGCAATGTAATCTAGAATACGTTTTTTTTAAACAAATGGTTTTCTAACCACTTATGAGTATTCTATATGAAGTATTCTATTCTTCAAAAAGCAGCCAGTGTAGCAAAACAGTGAAACTAACACTCCAATATAAACAGACATAATCTAAAAACAATACACAGTTCCTTCAACTCCTTGTATCCATATTATTCCTTGGAAGAGAAAAACAATAATCAAACATATTTATTATCAGTGTAAATATCAAGTTCACACGGGTGGAAATAGGGTTTCAATGAAATTCAAATTTGAATACATTTGTATATTTACTTTTTCCTAAACACATTCCTGTCATGACAAAGCACACTGTAAATAATGCTAGAAGTTAAAACTGCTTGAAAATTAAATTAATTAAAAACCTACAAAAAAACTTTCTCTTACAAAAAAGCAGTTTACATGTTATATCAACAGAATGAATTAGAATGAAAAACTAATTCCAAAGAGAAATAAGTACTGAAACAGTATTTGTCAATCTTTAGAATATTTTTTTATTTGTACATATTTGGAAAAATGTATGAATAAGTTTATTGCTGACTTTTACAATGCCGTTTATTTATACTTTTTTTTTCTAAATAGCCTTTACAACTTTAGATACAAGTAGTACAGAAGACTCAATTTTATACTGTAACTGCATGACAATAGGCAACACAAAGCATAGTTATGTAATAAATTTTCCACAAAAATATGGTTTAGCTACTTATTTTTAAGGAAGGGAGAACAATAAAGGAGATGTATAAAAGCTTCACTTGCAGAGCAGGACTCCTGCATACTCACGGAGAAAGAAAAGGCTTCAGATTTTGATAGAGCAGTGTTCACTGTTACAGATCCACTTGCAGAAACGTGCTCTTCTCACTCCACTAAGTACATCCCGTTAGGAGGCCCTCCTACAAATAGCAACTTGCTGCATCACATGACCTGGTCACAGCAGCTGCACATGCCATCACACACAGGGCAGTGAAGTGCAATGTTATCGTCCTCCCCAAGACTCCATTCACCACAGACAATTGGAAACTCGCCCTACATCGCGCCAAGCTGTCACATTTAAAGCACTAGCTTTGCTTTTTACATTGTACCCGATATCACCTGCAGACACGCACAGCATGCTTGGATGTATCTGTAACAAGGTCTTCATTGACCAGTACCAAAACAAACCTCTGGCCTGAACCATCAAGTCTTGAGTCTTGAAACTCAAACAAAAACTTTGTGTCAAGACTAACAATAGTCTTTGTGTCTGTGAACCTGAGTGTACAATTTTATTGATATCAGCATACTGTACCACTGATATCAACAGGAATAGATACCCTCCAGTTTTTGGTCGTCTCCGATCTCTGCAAATGGAACACGGGAGTTCCAACAGCTGCACTGCCACTGTACAATACAGCTTCACTTAAATTGCCATGAGTTTAAGCAGCACATTAAACAACACACTGCATAAAAGTTATTTTCTGTACTATACAGCCTGATCATGTTAAGCATCTAGTACAGGCCATTCCCTGTGACCAGCAGTCCCCCCCCCCCAACTCATTTTAGCCTCCTTTCCGCTAAGTTACTCTAATGAACTTGTGCAGTGCGCCACCTATTGAGGCTTCTCATACACAACACGAGCCAATGGTCTTCCAGCTCTCATCCGACTCAGGTGGAAATTGCCACAACAATAAGCTATGACATTGCTTACGACAACGAAATGAGGTGAAACTGACAGTCTGCTTGTTTCTCAGGGTAGGCTAGTGTCAGCTACACATGATCAAACCAAAACCTTTCAATTTCATATACTGTATGAAAAGATACTGCATTGATAACCTACAGTACTCTTTATAATAAAATAAGAATATAATAAAGGAGTATATATATGAAACCAGAGGAGACTATTTGACCCATCTAGCTCATTAGTTAACAGACAATTGATCCAAGGATCTCATCTTACCGTTTTTTGAAAGAAGCCAGTTTATTAGCATTGACAACAAGGCTGGGTAGATTGTTCCATACTCCCACATCCCATTGTGTACACAAGCGCTTCTTGTTTTCAGTTTTAAATGCACTTCCCCATAACTCCAACTCGTGTCCTCTGGTTTGTGTTTCAGTGGATCTTTGCCAATGCCTGTGAGGATATTGAAAACTTTGATCAGGTCCCATTGTTGACTTAGTTCAAGTCTAAAAAGGTTTGCTTCCTTCAGCCTGTCAATGTAGCATATTCCCTTAGGCCCATGAAGGTATCTGCTTGCTCTTCTCTGTAACTCCAGAGCAGCAGTATATTTTTAATGTCATGGCAGCTAAACCTTCAATAAATAACCATTGCTTTACATGTTATGCTTTTAACTGTATAGCCTTAAATGTTGTTTTACTTCACAACAATGTCTAAAAGGTGTAAAAGATGTCAACATAAACATCCATGTCTTTCTGGTAAGTGTGACCTTTATGCTAAGCATTTCCCATTTTTGTATTTATTTGTTTTTGCTATCTACTTTACATGTAATGCTTTGCATTTCTCTGTATTAAGTGTCAACTGCCAAATTGAATTAATCCGAATACTTCAGAATTTTATTTGCTGCTTCTAAAGTAACTGCCTATCCACCTACATGGTTTTGTCTGCAAACATGACTAATTTACTAAATATACCAGAATCAAAAGAATAAAGGATTTTCTGAGTTTCTAATAAGAGGAAAGCGTATGACCACACAACAGAAATTACACATACTTAAAGATAATTATCTTTTTGTCTGCAACTAATATCCCAAAAAGTCCATTTAAAACTCGGTTTGACTTTTTTTTTAAATTGCCAATATTGGCAAAGTTGCGTAAATCAGATGTGGGAAAACAAAATTTTATCAGCACCTTTATCTTTTGAAGTAGTATTCTTCAAATGCAACAAATCAGTCCCTTTCTTATTTGATGACTCATTGTGAATCAGCATGAACTATTCAGTTGAAGTCTCTACAGCAAAATCCAAACTATTCACACATACAGTACTACACATCCCACATTACCGCTGCTCCCAGGTTTGTTTCTTTTCAAATTTTGATAATAAAGTAGATGAAACAAATAGAAAACAAAATTTTTCACAAAGAAGATGCCACTGGCACTAATCTATTTTAACACTACCTTTCGAGGGCACAGCCTAGACTCAGCCTGGCAATCTCCTATTGCAGGATTTAGCATGCACTTCTTGTGCCAAAGACTACACCAATCTTAACACAGTATGTTCCTCTTACATTAATGTCAGCAATAATGTCCGTACTGTCCGTTACAAACCAAGCAATGTGAATCTTCTGAAACTGGCACATCAACAGTTCTTTTACAAAATAAGCAGTAACATTAAAAGATATTTGTTTATCAAGATTGGAAAAAATGTCTTGAGTTATTATTTAGTCTGTACATTTGTTTGATGACATATGCAAGGTGACTTGTGAGCAATGTTTTTATTAAAATACAACAGGCTGTATATTCCAGACAAAAAATACACAGTGTTCCTAGTACATTTCTTATGCTCACCAGTACTCAGATCTGCTGAGTAATATGTGAGATACAGTTGCCAAATAAGTGAATCACATTCCTTGTGCATCATAGCCCACATTTAATAGAAACATACAATGCATAGAAAGACACATTTTTCTTAAACTGAGTCCCTAATACACACACATTTGGTAACACTAAAGAGAAAATCTTCTCTCCTTCAAGGATACACTACAAACCTATTACCATGTCTGATGTGCTGTTTCCTACTTCAGTCCCTGAAAAGGCTGATGATCTATCTGTTAAGTCCTAGAGCTTTGCAAACTGCGCACCGCTCTTTCCTCGACCTAAAATACACTAGAACATAAACAGTAGTCAAAGCCAATACTGAAACACCACCTGTCACAGACAGCTCAGTGATCAATAGCAGGCCACGAGAAGAGTGACCTTAAATTTCTAATGTAAACACCCTTGTATGTATACATACTGTATTTGTTTTCTGCTTATTAAACACTGCTTATTGTGATTTACAGAGTAAGTTAAAACATGTACTGTTTAAGTACTCCCACACAGTGTGGTATAAACTTCTATTTTCTAACTGACCATCTAACTGAGAAGAACCTGTATATTGTGTAGTGCCAAACTGCCTGTTCAGTTTTTTTCAGTATGCTCTATTTTCTACTCCATGTTAACTCTGCTCATGTTTCATCCTATAATTTGCTACAATATGCTAGACCTCCATTAACTGGAAGCATGCTCAAGTTACTCCTTTAATACCATGGGAGGCCAGAGCCGCACTGCTCTGGAAAGGTCCAATCCTTCATAAGATAAAGCTAGTACTTCACAAACGGAAGTGACATGCAATTCACCTTGCAATCACCAACCCATGAAAAGGTACAGGGTCATGAAAAGAACAGGTTTGAACTGGTTCTAACAAATACCAGCATCCACTCACCCTCTGAAGGGTCAGGAAGCAGAGCATGGAAAAATGAAAGCACTATAAATACTAAATACAGTTCTGTATTTAGTACAAGGCACAATACCAGCAGTTTACATTTGAACCTGGCAAAGTAGGCCCATCCGTGAAGCAGGAAGGAACATTCTTGGCAATAACAGATGGGACTAGCATGTCTAACACCAAGCTTGTATCCCAGGGCTAAATTAAGAGATGGGCAGAGAGGGGGAGAGTCCTCCGTGCACCAATCATGTTGAAAAACTCCCTCCTGACAGCAGCCAAGCCGCCACGCAGGTGACCAGGCTATGATTACGATATTTCCAGCATACCAGCACACACTTGATTTGTTACCTCCTCGTCATCTGGAAAAACCTCACCTTCAAAACTCAAAAAAGTTCTAAGACTGAGGAAGAGCAGCCAAATGGGTGAAAATCGTTTATCTTTCAATAACTAAAAATTGGCACGTTTTCTGTGAAAATGATTTTAAGCAAGGAAAATCTGGTCTGAGCAAAGTACGTCCTTGGTGCCTTCACTTCTGACTCAACAACTTTGGGCAACTGATACTGTCTACCATTAGAACTGTGGTCTGCATAAACTAGGCAATCAATCTAGTAAATTTAGTTTAGTCATACAGCAGTATTGTAAACCACAGCTTCACTTGCATCACTTTATTACAGTTTTATCCTTTGGCAACTTTACCAGTGCACTTGTTTGTTCAAGAAAATGATATGGTCAATAGTAAAAATAAGAAAACATTCTATCCCTAAAGAGAAGATGTCTGTGGAATTGGTTAGATATTTCTCTCTTGAGTGTTCTTAACTCAATGCTGTAAACCCATATAACTAAAAAAATTGAAATACAGTACCTATTACACAGAAAGAATGGAAGGTCTAAATTATCTCCTTAACTAATCTTAGACTTCTAGCGCAGCCATTACATTCAACTGCAAAACATATATATATATAGTGGCAGCACAGTTTAAATCAATGGGATTGTTAACATGATTTTATAAGAGAAAGATAGCCATGTTAAAACATTGGCATTAGGGGTAAAATAAGCCAGTTTGGAGAAAATAAACACTAAAGTCTTTTGTAAAATTATTAATTAACTAGTAAAATGTATACATTAAAAAACACTGGCAGCTTTTGATGAAGTAGTGTGTAACAATAGAAGTTAAGGATATAAAGAAAAAGCCCAATTGTTTCTGAGTGGTAATGACACATTGATAATGTTGTTTTTATAGGCCACATACTAGGAATGTGAAGGTTGCACAACAAATGAAATTTCATGACATGTCAGGAGAGCTTCACTCAAAACAACATCTCATGTGACTGGGGCCAGTGGTGTGGGGTATTATTCAAGGAATTGACTGTTTTCACACGGAGACCCATGTCAGCATTACACCTGTGTTCCCCTCTTTGTCCTTTCTAAACAAGCATCTGTTGTTGTTTTGCATTTTTTGGCCCTCTGCCTGACTGGTGCTGGCTGGCTCCTGTGACAAATCAAAACATGATGGAAAACTGGAACATTCACATTTTCTTGTGTAGCAAAAAGAAACCCTACCAGTGCAAAGAATCACATGCTATATTCTATCACCATTTTTTTGCTTTGTCTTTCTTTCATTTCAAGCTCTGTATAAAAAAGCACTGCAGTTCTTCCTCAAATATTTCCTCGAGTAATCGCACTCAGTGCAGGTTAAATACCTATTACTGTGGAGCATCCAAATTTTGAATTGAATGACTACATTTAAAATGATTTGACTGTGTTAAAGGGCAGTACAGTGGTGCAGTGGTTAGCATTGCTGCCTCGCAGCACATGGGTTTCCTCTGGGTGTTCTGGTTTCCTCACACTGTCCAAAGACGTACGGGTAGGTTAAATAGTTTCTGAGAAAACTGACCCTAGGTGTGAGTGTGTGTGTGTGTGTTTGTGCCATGTGTTATTGCCCTGCAATGGACTGATGTCAGGTTCACGGTGTACCCTGCCTTATGCCTGTTGTTTGGTGTGACAGGCTCCTGTGACTCTGAATTGGAAGAAGTGGCTAGAAAATAAATAAATTGTGCAAAAGAGAGTGCTCTGAATTTGTTTGTATGAAATATCAGCACTGGGGCTGTTGACCAGTAATTCTGCTATTAGATTACAAGATTACATGATTGATAAAAATATCATTTGTAATAATTTATGTTAATATATTAACATATAATATTTGTACTGTTTTATTTTAAGACTGCTAAGTGGGGGGTCCCTATTGAAAGTGTGGCCAACTTTAAAATGAAAAGTGGTGTGTCAGACAGAGAAAGATGAAAACCCTTAAACTCTATACACAACAGTCTTCTGGACTTAATTTCTCTGTATCATGTCATTAACTGAAGAGTATATTACATTACAAGTAAAGCCTTTGTTTAATTCTAATACAGCCTATTGTGTAGAGACTTTCAGCTCCTGTGTTGTAACTGGACAAAGGAAAATGAAACATGTAGGAAAAGAAGGTCAAAATCTAGGACAAAATAGGCCTATACCAAAAATTTGAACAAAATCCAAGGTCACACATTTTAAATGAGGTGAAGTCAAATTTCACAGAAACCTTAAAATACATTAAAAATACTGTCCCATACTCAAAAGCTTACTGTACCTAGTGGAGGAAGTTTTGGTTATGTAAATAGTAGGTGGCGGTCAAAATGAGTCCGGATTTGACAGCCTGGAGCTTATGAACAGAAGGGCACTTACTGTTTAGCTAATATTTACTCTGTAACCATTTCTCCCAATAGCAAATATATTTGCAAAACAATTAAAATCAAAGGAGGTCAGTACAAAAACTGCTGTGTTTTGATTGACTGTGGAATGACACAACTTTCATAGATGTATCACAAGTCCTACACTTTCTATTCGGATACATTCCTTACAGGTTTTTGAAACACCTGTAATAAGAACCGATAGAGAATGAAGTACTGCTTTTGGTAAAAGAGAAATTTGAGTAAATTTTACATTTAAACTAATCAGCAAGAGTCTCCAATATTTACTGATTGTGTAGTTTTATTTATTTTTTAATTACTACACTGCTAAAACAGCAATATGGTTAGCTAGTAGTCTGTTCAATTCCAGTTGTTGCCAGAATCCACACAATAATGTAATCTTTAAAATGTACAGATTTTATTGCAACAGTATAATCAGGTTAAGCAGTGTTAAAGAAAAGGAAGAAAACGAAGCTAAATTATAAAATCAGGTAAAGAGAGGGCAAACATATCACTGATCACTTCTGTTGTTTCATGGCCCAGTTATTAGTAAAGCACAGATCCTTCCACTCCCACACAATATGTAGCTTCCCCTTAATATGAATACTTATGTTAATTTTAACATTAAAAATGCTACTTTCTAATTTTAAAGCATAATAATGAAAATATAACACATTCCAAGAACACCCCAAATATATGAGCAACTATATTAAGATGCTGAATTACAAAGCGGTGAAATCCAACATTACTGCTTCAGCAATCACCTTAGCAACTGACCAGTCTTAAAACCATGGAATTCCAGTTAAGCTCCATGTGGATAGTAGAATTTAAGGCGGAAAAGGGGGAAAATTCTTGACCTAAACTACTAATATTGCTGGCAGTAATAAAAGATTTTATTTTGCCATTTTTTACCATTTGTCTTAAGTCAAGTGCAATATTAAAGAGAGGATTGTACTTGGAAAATGTGCCGTGGCAGGAATGAAGAACACCCT